TTAAGAAACCACGACGGCGACGCCAAGGAAGACTTCGATTAAAAAATGAATTTCTACTCTTAGTTAGAATTTCAAAAATGGCTGCAGGAGCTTACTGTCTCATACAGCGCCACAGCTCAACTTCAGCATGACGTATAAAGTAGCCGTTGAGTTCCAAATGGAAATTAAAATAATTTGCCGTCGCGGTTTCGGTTCGCAGACGACGCAAATTTTGGCGATTTCACGTTGTTGTTTTGCATAGGACGGCTAAGAAATGTACAAAGTTTCAAAACGCACGTGCTGAGCTATTGAGCTACTGCCAATTAGATCTCTTATTTTTCCACGTCCTCGTTGCCGTCGCCGTCGTGGTTCTTAAGGTCCCTAATGTTTGAACAATGTGCGCTAAACTGATCCTAGGGCAGGTACTACAATTCTTCTTAGTGTCGATAACTGCAATTTACTCAAACTGCTCCTAATACTTTTCTTTGAAGACAATTGCCCAAACACAGACAATTCGCGACACGGCACCAGAGGGTGTGAGGGTAAATTATACAGCCTTCTGTCCGTAAGTGATAAACTTTTGTTCCTAGTTGTTACTTAAATATAGTTTTAAAGTTAAAGTTGATTGCTTGATGGCAAACTGCGGTGTGGATAACAGATGTTATGGACGACTAGAGTGGACTTTCTCGAGTGAGACAGCTTGGATTAGGTGGAAATTTTAGTTTTATATAATTAATTGCAAGTTGTAAACATGTGGTTGGGAATCCTTTGGCTAGACTTCTAACTTCTGAACTTTAAGCGCGATGTACAAGGAGTTTATTTGAACATTCCGAAAGGTGTCCCAGAAGTCTTTTGGTCTAGACGAAACGCGATGTCCTACCAACCACAAATTTTTCTTGTTGACAAGTGCTTAACAATTCCTTATTGCATAATTTTTTTTTTTGGTCAAATTATATGTAAGAATTGCCTAAAACTTGTCAAGCAATGATTTTTCAGTTAATGTTTCACGTGTTTGCTGAGCATCCGAGCATTGGGCCAACAGTGAAGTTGTGTCAACTGGAGCGCTTAATCTTGTTTTGAAGCAGACTTTTTTTATTTGTAGTGATGGAGTACAAATTGGATCAAGGACTTGCGCTAATGTTCAGATTGGACAAAAGGTCAGCTATCACAACATAACACCAAATCACCAATTAACGTTACAGTAATGAATAAAATATCTGTATTGAGGGAAAACCATCTCTTATGTTATCGTAGGTGTCATTTGAGGTCTCGGTCACCATTGAAGATTGTAATCTTAAGGAAAAGAGGTATGCGTATCATCTTGTTTTTTTTTTTTTTATCTGAATGATGTCTACTCAAAATTTACCCAAGCCACTGCCCTCTTTGTGCTTTCGCAGTCCATTTAAGCAAAAGAACGTTTTTTTTCCGGGCTCCATAACGTAACGTATGCCTGTATGGTAACATCAAAACAATCAGATTTCTTATACTTTTAGTTTTTATTTTTAGAAATTTCATTAATTAGATTTAAGGTTTTTATGTTTAAGATTGTGCGTAAATATGGATTCTAATAGAGTTACTGGCAGGTCCACACCAGCCTTTAGGTTGCCGCAAACCGACCTGCCTTATCAAAAAGTATATGCATGTATCTGTGTAGGTGCGCAGGGTGTTGGGAGAACACGCGGAAAGCTCAGTTATAGATCACGAGCTGAAGGCGGGTAAATCATAAGCTTTTTGCGTGTTCTCCCGACATCACGCGTGGCTTTATTGCGTTATAGAGCCCGGAAAAAAAAATGTGTTCTATTGCTTTAAGATATAACTAGTTACATGCGAGCTGTATAACCTGATAAAGCATCCGCTTGGAAACTGAATTGACAAATCAGACAATGCATACTTTATTCGTTTATGTTGTAATTTTTGATAGATTTAGTTCATCAGTATTTGTTTTTTGATTTATTGATTCTCCTCTTTCCTACCTTTCACCACAGTTTTTCTTTGGTCACTCCATTTGGAAATGTGGATATAAATTTGGATTTTATTTGTAGCTGCCAGTGCGAGAAAGATGAGAACACAGTAAGTCGCATCCACATTTTGATTTTTTTTTTTTTTAAGAAAAAAATTGATGATGTAGCATTCTGTCCTGTAGAAGTAGACAAGCTCCAGGTTTCTTGGTGCTACATGCAGAAACGGTAGATGTGTGCTGGCAATTTGGGGTCACGCTGCTCTAAGATATAACACTTAAAGAAACTAGGCCTGCAGAAGGGATGCTTTTCCATTAAAGGAGTCTGCCCAGGGGTCTCTATTTATACTACGAGAAAGAAATTGTTAGTGTAAAAGGAAGTTCCTGACCCAAGAACGCTGCTGTAATTGTGGCCTTTTTGGAACACCCAGTCTTTTGTCTAATGTACTGTGTTACGTAAGAATCACGTGCCTTTGATTTCTTTAAGCGTCAAGGGAAAGAGGCCAAGGGATGGTTACTTATTTGAGCTTTGTGTAACTGGAGGCAACAAGGAGTGTTTTCTCCTTCTGGATGAGAAACTGTTTCACCACTGGTAACCACCCCCCCCCTGTTCAGACCCACTTGCATTTCTGGGTGAAGATAAACACTATAAAGTGAAGCACCCGGCCAAAAAACACAACACAAATAATCAACCAGGGCTCGAACCCAGATCTCTCAGTTTATAGCCCAGCAGGCTCTCACCTATCTACTGCTTCTTCCAAAGACCTCTGTTGAGACTTTATTAAAATGGATACCTTTGTATCCTTTAGGAAGAATCAAGCCCTTTCTGCTCTGGAAATGGCACACTAACTTGTGGACAGTGTAAATGTGACAAAGACTGGTAAGACTATAGTCACATGTATTCAACCATCTCTAAGATAAGGTCGACAAAGTTAATGAAGTGATTTACCTTCGTAGGGCAAACTTGAGATAGAGGATATCTCATGGCCTTCCTTGGATACGAATTATCTCTTCGAGTGTTTATAAAATTTATCACGCTCAAGCGAAGCAATTGTGTTAGAGATGTCGTCAACGCAGGAAGATAAATTCAAATCCAAAAGCAGAAGTGTAGTGTTCCGTGTATTATGTAGAAGTTTATTAGATAATTAACAATTTTGGGACTCATTTCAGACCCACAGACCAGTCGTTATTTTTCGCTGGGAACTATAGAAAATGGGGTGTTTCTTTCATCCGATTCAGTTTACGCTCTCTTCCCTTCTCTCTTCCCCCGTTTAGAGGTGCAGCCAAAATCCTCAACTCACCCCCTCCCCCTGATAAAAATAATGACCCGTCTGATATGCAGGGACCATCTTCACTTTCATTTATTCCCAAAGCAGGTTTCACTGTTAGCAGTGTTTCATGAATTTTCACTTGATAACCCTTGATCTTTATAGGGCTGGACGGAAATGCCAGTGCCAAGATGAAACCAAGAGTGCTCCTGAACAGTGCATCAGGTATGATTTGAGTGCAAGCTTTGTGTATGATTTTCCTTGGCTATAGGTTCTACTAATGACTTAGAAGCACAGATTTGTTTTCGTTTCGGGCCTGTCACATAATTTTGTGCCTTTGTATTTGTGGTTTTGTTTGTTTTGTTTTGATTTTACGAATCTCTTTGCTATTTTCATTCTTTGTGATTTGAAGTCTTGTTTTTCCTTTTATTTTGCAAGCGTTTAGAGACGTTAAAACTATTTGTCACCAGTTAAAACTCTGTGAAATGAGTAGTATTTGTTACTGGTTTAAATATAAAATTTTACTTAAACTCTCAACGATGTAATACTCATTGTGATGACAGAAGTTGACCATAATTTTCATGAAAAGTTATTCTCAATTCGATTGTCTGAACTTTATAAATTCAGAAGTTTGTCATTGCAGCACTTAAAGACTGTACAACGTTTCAATGTGGTAGTTGACCTCAAAACTGATCAAAGTAACCAACAGTCTGTACTTTGTTAGCTAAAAAAGGTAAACTTAGTTCTGAAAAGTTTCTCAGACTTGCTTTGAACACGGCTCAGAATAATCCTCTCTTTAAACTTGGCCTTCCCCCTTTCAGTCAGAGTTTTCTGAAAGAAACGTGTAACCTGATAATATTATGGTCCATGATAGAGCACTTTTCGATTGAGTGTCGGCCAATCAGAAGGAAGAAAAATGCTGTTAAGAGCCAACGAGAACTCAAGTAAAAACAACCAAGCGCGGGAAAACGCGGGCGACCAAGTCGTGATTGGCTTTAGCTTTGCATTTTATTCGTTGAGAGTGTGGTGCGAGTTTTCTGGACCAATCACAGAGCAAAGTAAAGCAAAAGCAATGCAATTTCGAATTACAACCGTCACTCAATTGGAAATTGCTTTATTTTTGAGATAGTAAACTTAGCTCCTTGATGCTGTGAATGCTTTAAAAGTTTACGTAAGTTTGTGGAGATAAAACTAATACCGGATGTCATTGCCTGTGTGTAATGTATCTTTAGATTGAATCAAACTGCTTTGTTAAGGTTACAAGAAATGGTTCGCAATAACAACTTAACGGCGAAGTAAGTATTAAGATAACATATAAAATCTTCCGTTTAAATTAATTAAAATGACGGGGATTTAAAATGATCAACTGGTCATCTTTTTTGGTTCAGAGGACAAGTGAAGATTGGTGAACGGTGGTATCGATGGCTTCAATCAAATTTCAGGCAAAAAAAATTCATTCCTAGTTAACAAGTTAACAAGTTGTTGAGTTGCTATATTTTAAACTCATGAAATGATAATAATGCTGTTTCGACTTAAACCCTTAAAATTCTACAATTTAACGTGAACAACTTTTTACCAATACCATAATGGTTGTTAAGTTCTATTCTGTAAACATTCAGGCCTTTTGAATAGAACCCTCTGAACTGACTTAAATCATTTTTCCTTTCTTCAGTCAATTTGAGGTACTTGCAAACAGTGGTCTTGACAAATAAACTGACTCTAAAACAGTATAGTTTAAAAGGATCGCCTAATGTAAAGGAAAATCTGAGTTGTTAAAAAACTAGTTTTTGCCTCTGCTCTACCGAACGGCTCTCTCTTTCTCTCTCGCTCTTCAAGAAAGAAGTTAATCAATATCCAGTACCTATGTTATTCTCTATGCACTCGTGAAAGTTTACGAATTTCTGTCCGTTACTTCCTTACAAATTATATGGCACACTTAGCCCTTTTATATGGCACACTTAGACTGTGTACCAGAGCGTTAACTTGTGGCAATGTGTCCGTGTTGTTCTACCCTCGAACATTCTCGAAAACATTCTCGAACATTCTCGAACATTCTGTATCTCCATCGATGGTATCCCGAAGCGCTCACATCTGGTACTACCTCGAGCCATATTATGCAGCTCTCGGGAGCTGTGAAAACACTTCATACTTCACAAGTCGTTCCTCAGTTTTTCCATAGCAAAGGTGAATCAATTGTGAAATTTGTATTTCGCCAGGGATAATTCAACGGATACCGAGGTGTGCAGTGGATCGGGAACTTGCCTGTGCGGAGACTGCCAATGTGATAAGGGGGTAAGGCTGTGGAGGGGTGGATTGTATAAAAGGTGAGGGGAGTGGTGCGTCCTGCAAGAGGTGAGGGGAGGGGGGAGTTGTGAAAGAGGTGAGGGGAGGGGTGAGTTGTGTTGGAGGTGAGGAAAGTGGGAAAAGTCTTCTACTCTAATGACCTGATCATGTGTTTTGAATTTCAGACTCGCCCTGGTGAAATCATTAATGGTAAATACTGTGAGTGTAGCAACATGAATTGTCCTTCAGATCCAGACACTGGTCTGATCTGTGGAGGTAACAAGATATTGTATTTGATATTCATCTATAAATAAGTATAAGACAACACCCCCTACCCTCCACCCCCCCTCCCAAAAAAAAAGAAAGTCACTGTAAAGCCTCCACGACGATTTGAATTTTGTAATGGGAAAATCTTATCTTCACACATTTCACAGTAGAGGCCAACTATTGTTTTCTCGAAAGGAAATTCAGGAATAAAAGGCTGGTGTGAATGACTTGACAAGGACACTCGCTTGTCGAATTGTCAATATTTGACGCAAATTATGCTCCAGAAAGCTTTCCAAGACACGTGTCGTTGTAAGTTTTCTTCGCTAATCGCAAAGTTTTCATGGACAACTGAACCACATCTTTCTTTATTAAAGTGAAAACTTTCCGTAGAGAATGATGCTTTATTTGGGAACCTTTTTTTTTATTATTATTTTTATGATCCGCTGACTGTTTAAACTTCTGTGTTGTTGTTGTTGTTGTTGTTGTTAGGTCCTGATCATGGCCAGTGCGTGTGTGGGAACTGTAGCTGTAACGGAAACTGGACAGACAATGACTGCAGCTGTACTACAAGCACTGACGGATGTATGAAGGATGGGGTGAGTCATCCGGAAGCTTATTTGAATAACTTGTATTCTGTACAACTTGGAAATCTGGCGCTCAACGAGGTTATAAGTTTCTTTAGGAGAGAAGGGTCAAATGTGTTGACTTAACCAGGGAAACTGGGTCGCGCGGGTCAAGTCGAGGGTCAGTGGTAAATTTAGCGGCCAAGAAGTGAGAAATGGCTAATCTCTACTTTGATTTGACGAATTCTTAGCACAAACGTCAATTCTGGTAGCAACATTAGGCACCTAAACAAAACACGATGGCAACGAAGATAATTTTGTGTGCGTAGCATTAACAACACGATCAACTATGCGGCTAAGAGGGAAATTTGGTTTATCAACTAGGTTGGTAAATGATGTAAATTGGCCTCCGTAAAGTGTTTAAAAGCTGACGTTTCGACCGTTAGCCCCTTCATCAGAGCGAATGGCTCTGACGCTCTGACGCCTTTTACTGGCTTGGGAGCAGAGTCACCCCTATGACTCCTTTAAGCTAAATCTGTGTTACTGGGTAAAACGCACGATTTCTGTCCGTATTTCAGGTGCTGTGTAACGGTTATGGCTCCTGTCAGTGCGGTACGTGTGTTTGTAACAGTTCCACTGTGTACAGAGGAAAGTATTGTGATGAATGTCCGGTGAGTATTCTCGATTATCAAGGAGACAAATTGTGCGTCCCTTATATGATTGTATCTTTCGAAAATTCAATGCGCATGCTAGGAGGTACATCATGGTTTATCTGTTGTGAAAATTTAGTCTTTCTTTTTCAAGATCGACATTTGCTATAAGGATCAACCTTCCTCATCGTTAAAATATCCACATATTCGTTTTCGTTGTATTCTTCCTCTTTCGTTGTTTTTCTCTGTTATACGAAACTTTGTAATTGTTACATTTTGTAGTTTCCCACAACATAGAAAGTAATTTTGCACGTCTGTAAAAAAAATCAAATTTCTTAATACTCTAACATTTTCCAATCAAACTTCCTCGACGATTCACTCACAAAAGATTTGTTGCAATTAGAATTGGTTCACCTGTCTCAGGACTACTTGTAAAAGTTTGGAGGGCTAGTTCTTTTTTTAAGCAACGTAAGCCGTTCCTTGTTGTACACATTTAGTGTTAATTCAGAAAAATATTAGCGCAGCTCCTGTGCGCGGAGTGCGCTAGCGAAGCCCCCGTATGTAGCAAAATATTGTTATCAATCAAGTCAAAAAAATTCGATTGTGAAGTACTTACCTTATGCCTGTTCCCATTCACAAGAAACTGTGTGAGAGAGAATGCGATCGTCGTCTTTTTCTCTTTATCTGATGTCATTAGTGTTCTGACAAATTTTCCCCCATCCTCGTACTTTTTTTTTCCAGAGCTGTGCTGGAAAATGTTCTCTCAACAAAGACTGCGTGCAGTGTTTAGCGTTCAACAGTGGTGCAATAAAAGCCGAGGACTGCAGTACTCGCTGCAAAGAGTTTAAGATGAATCAAGTCAATGAACTTTCTCCTGGTGAGAGTTAACCCTTTACACCCTAACGTCAGTATGCATATTCTCCATACTGTTCTCTATACATTTCATAAGAAGAATTTGTTTAACAATCAAGTTGGTGATCATTTCCTTTATTCTCCTGACCTTATTGTGTGACTCAGGGGTGATACTGTAATGAGAAATTAGATGTTAGTCACACTAAGTGGTGATATATGCTTTCAACTTTGGTATCACGGTGATCCGGTGTAAGATTTCTCTTCAATTCTTTGGCTCTCCTCGTTAAGACAAAAGAGCATGCCCTCTCGTAGTTCTTGTCATCAGTTTAATGAATAAAAATGTTGTTTTGTCGTACTGTTCAACAGAAATGGGAGAAAGATGTACATTCAAAGACGATGATGACTGCTCGTTCAGCTTCAGCTACAAAGAGAACCCTGGCAAGGATGTGATTATATCCGTACAGAAGGACAAAGGTACGGCGGCGGCTTCGCTAAATATACACAGGAAATTGTGCATGCCTAAACTCCGTCTCCAACTGTTTGGTGGCGTGTATTTGGATTCTCGTAGCTTGTTCTTTTGTCTAGCTGCACGAGTAATAGGTTTTTTTGAAAAATTCCCATGATCCTCTAATGGAGAGGCAGTTGCATGGTAGCGAGCTGCAGCGGCAGTTGTGGGTAAGTTCTGAGTGGTGATTGCAGGCGCAACAAAATTTCACGACAGTTTAAAAACCGAGACAAATTATCGAATCAACGCTTGATGCGATTGGTTGAGAGGATTACAGAGCAGTTAAACCACAGCATTTGTTATGACAGTTTAGCCACCAGTTCCTTCAGCTTGTATTTTTGTCTTTCGCCAGTTTGTCCTAAAGAAGCCGAAGCACTCGCAGTTATTTTGGGTGTCGTCGGAGGAGTACTGGGTGTGGGTCTAGCTCTGCTCCTTATATGGAAGCTGCTCGCCACGATCCAGGTATGAAGATTACTCCCAAGTGTTGAGTCCTCAATGTGTGGCTGTCAGTCTCGACTGGAACTGAGTGGTAGTCCTTTGCAAGAGAATAGAAAGTAATGGGTGAATTGTGTGGCCCATTTTCGGCGTTTTTAAGTAACTGTCCATCTAAAAACACATGTTATTTTTCAGTGTCATGTTCGTTTTGGAACCCTATGTTTTGAGTTTTGTATCTCGACAAAGTCATTCTAAAATTTTCCAAGTTTGTTATCTGCAGTCCTTTTTGATCTTCTTCATCCTCTATTGTTCTTTCTTCTTGGTTTACGATTGCCTCTCGTGAGTTTTCCATCTCACCCAGCTAAAGATATGTAGTCTCCTTCATGCTGAAGGTAGAGTCACACTGGACTTTGATTTTGCAGGACCGACGAGAATTCGCTAAGTTTGAGAAAGAAAGACAGAATGCTCAGTGGGACACAGTAAGTATATTGCGTACTGTAGTTTCGGTCACTGAAAACTGACTAACTGTGCATAATCTCATTTCTTTAGTTTAACCAATGATCATACCAACATGTGATTCCTTTTTACCTTACAATGAATCAACGTTGAAGCTTCAGGTTTGAATCCAGGAAAAAACCCTATTCTACAGGATTGTAGTTTTTAGTTGTTGTTGTTTTTTTTTTAAGCAAGAACTCACGTAGTATTCACTGCTTTGGTACATCTCACGATAACAATTGGCAAAAGTCGCCAATGCTAATTAACAATAAATTCAGCTGACGTTATAGGACAAACGAAGGCGATCATTTGATACCAAGAGATTATAAACTGATTATAATCTCTTGTTGATGCACAATCCTTCGAGTTCAGTCATTCTGACATGTCTTTCCCTCCTTCCCCCCCCCCCCCCGGGAAGTTCACCCATAAGGAATCCTTTAGTCCTTCATGAGCGCAATTTTTAAGACTTTTTCCCTTTTACTTTACAGGGAGAGAATCCAATCTTTAAGCAGGCGACCACTACTTTCCAAAATCCCACTTATGGGGGAAAATGAGAGAGGAAAACATCAATTATGGAACGGAAAACTCAAGCTGTGAATATCTTAATATAGGAGGAATATTTTTACGGTCGGCTGCCATCATTTTATCTTTGATGGATTGACTAAGGCCCTCCTAGTTGTAGAGTTAAAATACAGATCTTGTGCATGCGCACAAGTTTTCCTCTCGTCGACGGTACCATCTGGGTTCATCCTTTGCACATGCCTAGTTCTACAGTTCGTGTAATGCTAAGGTTACGAATGTAAGTTTTGAGTTGTAGATAGTATACTGAAGGCAAAAATGTTCAAGTGAATTTTGTCCTTGGGATAAATTTTTAACTCAAAGTGGCTAAGTGCTTACCTTTGGCAGTGCCATATTTATTGCTATTATTTTTATATGGAAACATTTTGCCTCGATATTCCACTTTGTTATCTTTAGTTTGGAAGTACATTTTACTGAGCTATTTTTAGATTCATTTTCTTAATAATAGGTTTGAGTACTATGGGCTCCCTTTGTTACTAATTTTGTTCTTGTTGACGTTGTGAGTTTTGCTTTTTGTTTGTTTTTTGGTTTGTTTTTTTTTAAAGATTTTTTACATTTTCAAATTTTGTTGAAACTTTAACTGGCGAATAAATTTGTCACCATCTATTTTAATGAAATGGAATGTCGGTTGCTATCCCCGTTTTTCGTATTTTTAGTTTTTATGTTGAGGAGCGAAGGAGACTCAACAAACTTTCCAAGCGAATGTTTCATTGCTCGTCTGCACTGCGCTGGGTTTATTTCGAAACGCATCAGCACCAATTTATTCTTAAGGCCAGGCCACACAGTTCACTCTTCTCGGATGAGGTAGCTTGACGGTCTTTCGAAACGCGTTGTTAATGCGTCTTTGTGGAGCCATTGTTCTTCTTGCAGTGCCGTAGGGTGGATGGATATCTTGCACTTATGAAGTACAGTAAATTTAGAATCATTTTAACTTACTGAACGGGTGCAACCCATGTTTACCTCAAGTACACTTAACCGAGGCCCTCTTCTAAAGGACCTGGGCCCAGATGTTCGAAGGCCGATTAGCGCCAACATGGGGTTAAATTTTAATCCCGGTTTCCATATTTCTCTGTTCAAAAGCCGTTTTGGAACAATTTTCCCTTTTCTTTTTTGAGTATTTAATCCCTCAAATTGTAGACAATGGAATTAAACTGAATTTTATGTTAAAGCTTTCAGACCTGATATCAAATTTCACACTAACCCTGGGTTATCTTAACCCAGCTTTGAACAATCCGGCCCTGCTCTTTACCTCATTGGCTTTGCCCGTAGCGTGCGGGTCACGTGCGCGTAGTGCTTAACGTGAGAGTAGAAATATATGTATGCAATGCATAGTTACCTGTAGAAGGAAGGGCAAAGGGCTGGTCACGGACACGCTTACCTCGAGCACCTTGCTCGCTTGAAAGTGCATCAGCTAAGCAAGGAAGAGATGCATCGACAAATTCGGCAGCCAACGATTAATCAGTGTCAGTCGTTGGGCAAATAGATACTTAAAAACGATGATATTCATACGGATAATACATAGATAAACAGCGGTCCTAAAAATGCGATCAATTAAAACCTACACGGTAGCTTTTATTTACTCTTAAATCTCTTGCTGCTATGCAGAGTTAACGTGTGCCCGTTTGAGGACCATGACGCAGAGGGCCACGCTGGCGCAGGAGATAAGCTCCCATAGAGGTATTGGATAGAGGTGAGTAAACCGAAAAGGATCTGGGGTGAGAACTGAGCTGGCCACGTGTTCCTAATTGTAACTAACTCTACGCTGAAAAGATAACAAATTGACTGATCAATTTTGGATGGACATAAACTGGATTGCCTGACTGAGAAATTGTTATACTAAAGTTCAACTTCGGCTATGCTCATGAAGTTATCTTTCATAAGGAAATGATAGAACATTTTACAAATTCACAAAATGACTCTTTTTCCAGTTGGGTTTAACAGTTCTCTTGTTGAGAGCGCTGCACTCATATAATTAACAATGCGTCTTGGATTAGCACCATTAAATCTTTTCTCTTTTCAGGTGTAATTATCATATTTAAGAGGATTGTTGTAAAGTCGTGCAGACCGGGAATCTATAGATTACCAACCGTCTATTTCCTGTTGTGCTATTATGGTTTATTACAGGCTTTGATTGAGGCAAGCTGAGCAAATCACGCTTTCGGGAGGTTTTTTCGCTAAACCTATAGTAATGGCACAGTTGACCAAGAAGACGATCCTTAGAGGGTGTGGTTGAAGGAAAGAATTGTTGCCATTCAAATCAAATTATGATCTTTATTGTGTGCAAAAATACATAAAAGAAAATGTCGGAGATCATCCCTATTGAGGACGCTACCTGAATAAGATATATAATAAACCATGATAAAAATAGTAAGAACTAGCGAGAGTTTAACACGCTTTAAAAAACATCTTTGATTTATCGCAAAAAATGCTAAAATGCTACCCTTCAACCATCTCCACTGTTGGATAATTCTGACGAAAAGTCCGTGAAAACAAAAACAATTTATTCTAGCTGGTGGCTGTCTAAATTTAAATGTATGGTTTGACCTTGTTTTCCAAAGTGGGTATAACCTAGGCCTTTACGTTGGAACATTGTAAGGATTGTCACTTTATTAATTGCCATGGAATTTTGCGCAAGTTTCCCGCTCGCGCGCGCAACTCAGTCTAAACGAACAACGGTTATGACGTTCGACTTACTTCGATTGAAATCTTTAACGAGGCAAGATGTCTGTGGGTAAAATGATATTATGCCTTGCTTTTGTCATGGCAATGAATGTTTTTCTACCAGTCGCGGCTGAAAATTTTCAATGTCCAAGTAACTGTCGCTGCAGTTCCAGTTTTCTTGGAGTTACATGTCCCGGGATGACTGAGTTTCCTGATCTTCCCTTCGCTTCTCGAGTCAAATCGTTGTAAGTAATGTTGTGGCAAAATGTTTTTTATTCCTCCCCTCTCCTTGATTTTACTCGTTTTCCTAATGAATCGCACTCTCTCTTCAGAGACTTATCTGATGGGCACATCATGGAGATAAGAAAGGAAAGTTTAAAGCGATACGAGAATTTGCGATATTTGTAAGTAATGTAGAAGAAAATCTTAGCTCAATTTTCGACCTGGTTATTCACGTTTTCCCGCGCTTTAGGCTGCCAGTGGCAGTTTCCTTCACTCTGATTGGCTTATGTAATTACAACTTGCTACACTCAAATGAAATGCGCTCTCACCTGGAATTAATAGAGCCCATTCCGATTGAGACAGTGAGCGTTCTGAAACCAAAACCAACTTCGACTCATCGGTCAATCAAAACGAAGGGCAATATCAAAATCAAGTAAACTGACTACAGCGCTTTAAAAAGCGAGTGGCATCTGTTTGGTTGAGAGTAGAACGCGAGTCTTAAAGGCAAATCACAGCGCCAGGCGTGGCAAAATCTGAGTGCGCTTCTAATGATGACTCAATTTTTGCCAAACTCATTTATGTTTTATCAATGGACCAGAAAACATGATACCCTGACAACAAAAATTTTGGCCGAGATTAGGGAGGATCGCTCTAAAATAATCGAACTAGAAAGGACCGTTGACTGGATTTATCGCTCAAAACATGTATTAACATTTTATTTAGATATGAGTGGCAGTCAAGTTAGAGTCCATTTCAGGGGGGGGAGGGAGCATGGGAAGGAAAGGGCCGGGGGGAGAGAGAGAGAGAGAGGGAGGGAGAGAATGTGACAATTTTGGCTAGAGTAGTCCCTCCTTTTCAGCAAAGTCCATCGAGCGAGTGAAAAAAAAATCCGAGTAAAAAATAAAAAATGAAAAAACGATAATAATAACAAGCGCGCCACGTGGAACTCTGGGAGTGAAATTTCCGTACGCTTCGCTCCCAGAGTTCTGCGCGGCGCGCTAACGTAAGTTTTTTTATTCCCATGATTTGTTTTTTTTTTCACTCGCGCGAAGGACTTCGCTGAATAGGAGGGCCTGCTTGTAACAACGCAATGAAGGTATTATGCGGGGGCATTTTGTCGCAAGGCTTTTTTTCTTCCACAAAATCAGTTATCATTAGCCTGTCATTAAGCTGACCTCCTGCTTATTTATCTACCTATACATATTTGTAATTCTCTCCAAAGCGAGGTTGGTGTGAGTTATACACCAATACCACAGTGTGCATGTACGTGAAAATGGTGTAAGTTACGAATGTGGATGTTTGAATGTGTAATGTTTGCTTATTTGCGATTTTCAGCGATTTAAGAGGCAAAAAATTGAAAGGTGTTGAACCGGGTTTATTCAGTGAGATGGATACAATAGGGAGATTGTGAGTATTAGGAAAATAATTAAATAAATAGATAAATATCAAATAAACAGAAAGACCGTCACAGGAGAAGAACTTCCACGAAACTTTAAAGGAAAAGGACTCATGATCACTAGCTACTGAAGCCAAAGATGGTTAGGAACTGTTAAGTACATGTATATAAACAAATCTCTCTCAAACTTGACCACGAGCAGTCAGAACAATTGATGTCAGCGTACCACGTAGAACGAGGGAGGCGCACGAAATGAAGGGTCTTTTCGTGCGCCTAGCTCGCTTACACAGAGTTCTGCGCGGTGGGTACGCGTAATTTTTATTTCTTTTCGCTGTTTTCTTTTTTCTGACTCGCCCTGTGACTTCGGCGAAAATAAGTGACTTCTCGTAGTCTTTTTGCAAATCAAAGAATCTTGCTCAAAATTGTTTTGCAAGAGTGAAAATGGTGGATGCGTATGACGAATCAGTATATATTTAATAGACACGCGAGTCCAATAATCTCTGTGTAATTCAAACGAAAGAAAATTCTTTTCACCCGCATAGTAGTTCCATAAAATAAACAGCGAAAATAAAAAATTTAAGTTAACGTACCGCGCGGAACTCTGATAGTGAGGCGCACGAAAAGTAGATTGAGAGTATAGGAGGGGGCATTGGGGTCTATCAGAAACCGCAAACCCGCAAAACTGAAAACCGCATGCAAAACCGTCGAAACCGATATATTTGCACATCTCAGTTGTCAAAATCCTAATCGATCTGATACTGTGGTTACAAGTGGAGCAACATAAGTTTCGCGGCTATTCGAGATCAGTAGAGGCGTGTAACTGCTGCTTAGATCGAAGAGAAACCAGAACCCCAATATGAAAAACCGAAAAAGCACATCGGATACCAAATCCGAGCACCCGTCAAAATTTTTGACAAAAACCGGAAACCAAATGCTGAAAACGGAAAATCCGCAAAACGCAATGAACAACAAAACCGAAAAACCAAAGTTTTTGGGCAAAAAAACCGAAAAACCGATCTAAAAATAGCCAAAACCGCAAAACCCAATGCCCCCTTTCAGTAGAAGTGTATCACTTTCTTTTCCGCTGATTTTTTTTTAGTCACGTGATGGACTCCTCCAAAAAGGAGGGACTGCTTGTAGTTTATCTATGATGCTAATCAGGTTTTAGCTCCGGTAACCTAGCGTTTTAAGATCATATAGTTTGCATCCCATCAGTTAGCTGACCATGATTGACTTTTCTTATAGGTTCATTGAACAAAATCCTTGGTCGTGTGACAAGCTTTCTCTGGAAGTCCTTCAAAATGAGCTGATTGATCTTATCGAAAAAAATCACCTTGATAACTTTGATGGAGGAAAAACAATATGTTTCGACCCACCAGATATGAAAGGAAAAAAGCCTCTTTACTACAAAAATAGTAAGAATGAAAAACGTCCCACACAACTAAAATAAAATGATCTTGATATAGCGATACTTTGACCTTAGATGATAAAATACAGGTTGTTGATGTGTCAGCCACTGTTACTGACAACTGTGGCCTGCAGGATGACTCCGACTGACCTCAATGAATGCACAACTTCATTATCAAATGTTCTTCCAGGTTCAAAATATTTACTGTAAACATATATTAAATATTTTTTGCCTGGATAGAGATCATTTCATTTGCATATATGTTACATCAATTGATCAAATGATGAATTACTAGTATTGGCTTTGCAACTTTTTTTGAAAAGAGAAATTTAGAGTCTGAAATAAAGTTTTCAGTTAACTGTTGAAAAGACCAGAGATTCCCAGTAGATATTATCATAAAGCTATATGATCAAAGGATAAGACAGAAAGTTAAAATAAAAAGAAAAATGTATTTCTTTGAAAAACAATACCAAATAAGACATGATCCAGTTAATGTTAAAAAACTGTCTAGCACCAAATTGGACAAATGGAACGACTCAACTGCGTATTTTCCGCTCTCTGAGTATATAATCTGGATGTTATGTCTTACAATGATTTTCTTTTTTCCTTTACAGCGACAGTAGCTAGAGCTCACTTTCTAATTCGCACTTACAAAGCCTACCCCAGCCCAACTACCCCTGGAATAATGATAATTCTTGTGATAATCATGGTGTTACTGTTCTTGGCAGTGGTCTTTTCTGTCATTAAAATATATGGCAAGAAAATTCTTGACAGGACTATGTAAGTGACAAGTTTAATCATTTGCTATCATTGGACAATACATAAATAGGTTTCAAAGTGTAGTACAGGATTTCTGGACTGCACTCTCTGTGAACTGAACAACTGAACATGCTAGTTCTAAGTGACTTTTTAAAGAAAATCCATAAAAGAGTCAATTCTAACAAAACCTCAAAGCAATTTCCAAACCACAGAAAAGGGTTTTGAGCAATGTGCTCTGACAACCCCAGAAAATGAATTTCCTGAGCATAATAAAAAAAATTGCATGAACTACTGTACATTTGATGATTTGATAGGTTTTCAACTTGCACAAGTCTGCATCTTGTACAATTGCAAAATTGTCATGTAGATCGTAAGCTATATTAGCAATAAGCACCCTTAAGTCACAGAAAGTTTTTGGTTTGTTTAAGGGTTTCAATTTAATTATCTTGAAACTCTTCAACTATGGTAGTACCTTACAGAACTTGAAAGAATTCTAAATTATCTGTTTCACAGTTCCCTCTCAAGACTTTTGCACCATGAGGCATTAGGAAAGGTATAGAGAAGCTATCTTTCTAAGCTAGGTCTAGTATTTACTTAGACCCAATCTCTATCTATTCAGGGACATGTGGAAACCAGGTTCAACAAAAGATGACATGGACAAAATGGAAGCTGGAGAGTTAGAGACTGAAAGTCTTTTCACTGACAATATGAAAAAGAGAAGACGCAGGTCTAGAGGAATCCCTGGGGCAAAAGCTAACACCTCTAGTTCCGACGAGGATGACAACAAAAAACAGACACGAACTTCAGAAAGACCCAAACCAAAAACAAAGAAACCAAGGACAGAATCTGGAGGGTTTCCAAGGGGGGTTGATAGCAGTGGAGAAAAACCGAGAAGTCCTTCCACTGTGGTTAATCCCATGATGGAATGGCAACAACAATCTGGTGGGCTTCGTGAGGAAAGCTTTGATGCTGATGAGAGTGGCCACTCTACAGTTGTTGACCAAGAGGATTATCTCAAGGACAAAATGAAGCAACAAAGGTGGCAATCCAGTGGTTTTGCCAAAAATGAAACAAGCAGTGATGCAAACAAGAGTTCTCTTTCTACTTTGTTTGGTCTGGAGGATTATCTTAAGGACAAAATGAGGGAGGAGAAGGAAGAATCTTGTGGCTTTGAAGAAGCAAATAGCAGCAGCGATGAGGACTGGAAGTTTACCACTGTTGATCTTTACTAAGACTAAAGTTTATGGGTACACAAGCTTGTTTTTTATAAGCTAAATGTGTTTAACTTCTTGCATATTTTTTTATTTGTACTTTTGTTTTATAAAATGAATGAGATCTATTCAGCACTATGTAAATCTGCAAAGCCTACAAAAAAATGTAACTCTGTTTTTCTTTGAGATAATAATAAATGAGTGGCACCACTGCGCTGTCCTTGCAAATTTTTTTTTTTGATACACCTCTCTACAATCTTATTTAACCCTTCCACTCCCAAGATCTCATCAGTAATTCTCCTTGCTGTCTGCCAAACAATTCCTACGATGTTCGTTTGGAGAATTTGGTATTGGATCAACTGATAATTGCCTAATTGATATTACAACATAACCAAAGTAAAGTGCACGCTCTGATAGGTCAATTCAGCGTCCATCCTTTGCCCACAGGTGTATGCTGCTGACATAAGTAAATGCAAAGATAGTTTCCGCATGCACTTGTTTTTTCTGGTCACGTAGGATTTGTTAAATAAAAGAAAACTCTTTTGCTACAACATATCAATGTTATGTTATAAAACAAATGGTAAACAACACAGTGTACACTATTGAGTTATGGTTGCACTTGAGAGGTTTGCTAAGCACTCAAGAAGCTAGAGTCACTCTCAGCTATCCCCTTGTGTGACTCTTATGATTCTTTCATGCTTAGCAACCTCCCACATGCATCCATAACTCAATAGTGTACACTGTGGTGTTTATCATTTGTTAATTTTTCTTTATTCTCATTTACTTGTCTGCTTGATATTTAGACAGGTAAAAATAAACTATATAAAATCCCGACGTTTCGGCGACTTCATGACGTCATTATCAAGGGTACAAATGAAAATAAAATTAACAAATGCGAGTTCAAGAGTTACAACTAATTTGCATAGGGAAGGTAGCTACACAAATACTTTAGCACGGATAGAATCCGTTTGCACGTTCAAACTCGGTGTTAATTGTTTGATGTAAAGCATCTCGTTGACAAGACAATCGAATTTGTTCATGCACTTCTTGAGAACTTTGAAACAGCTAAGAAGGTCCTCAGGGACAGCACCTGCGTGGTCGTTGTCGTAGTGCTTGCGTACTGAAGATGACGTGCTCTTATGGCTATCCACGCGGGCATATAAATGCCCACGTGTGTAACCAACATAGCTCCCTGTATCGCACAGGTTACATTTAAATTGGTACACTACGCACTGTTGATTATATTGATATTGTAAGGAGAAATTCTGTCTTGGTCACTCATGAGAGTTCAAGGGTAAACAGAATGCTATCTCCAGTTAAAATTCAACAAAATACCATTGTCCAAAGAAGATTTTGCTTGTTGCATGTCAAACTTGAGATGAATTCTAAATTCCTGTGCCTAATAGACTGAAAGTCAAAATTGATTTCAATCAATAATCCTACGTCCTGTCTTTACCATTGTGCGAAAGATTCATCGTTGTAAAACTGGCCAGCAAAGAGTGAACTTCATCAACCTGAAAGGTATTTTCAGTAAGAATTTTGAGAATGAGATATCTCCATAGGAAAAAGTACGAGTGACACTGTGGCCCAATTTTGCTTCTGTGCCAATCAATTTGAAGCTTCAATATCCTCCCCCCCCCATCCCCTCTGGGCAACCCAAGGGTATTTGACTATTGTCTGCGCTTGGAACCTTGCCTGGGTGGGGTGGGGAATTTGAACTGAAACTGTCAAGTATTTCCAACAGAATAGAGTGTTTTATCCTCTAATATGGAGGTGTTTAAAGGTAAAAAGTTCACTTTCATGAGCAGGTGGCTGAGAAAAAAGGTCTGCAAGAAAGTCATGGTCACTAATCTTGCCTTTTAACAAGAAAATTGATGATCGAATCTGACACTTGGGCGAGGCATTTGAACAAAATTTTGGTCCCAGGGGCAGGAATTTGAACAGACCAATCTTCTTAACACTGTTCATGTATTCAGATCACCCACGAGAGAGTGGTGCTAGGAAAAAAAATGTTGCTAGTGATTGTCACCGACAGTTTGATGACCTGTTCTTGTCTCTGTTGATCACTTCTGCTCAAGTAGTTCATTAAAAAACACAAGGACTGTGACTGAAAACACCCTTTTCAGAACTACCCTCACAATGACAATAGGGACCTTATGCAAATCAGCATGGCAACTGGATCATGAGCATGGTAAAGCCTAAGGTGATACTTGCACTCCTTTAACACCACATGTCAGCAATATTTAAGAGAATTTTTTTCCCAATTTACTGCCTTGATTGGTGCAAAAAAGGAATTAGATGTGCTCTGCTTTTATTCAACTATTGCTAAGATTTTACCAACCTCTTCTGTAGTGGTGGAATCTCCGAGCATGCTATGGAGTTGATCCAGTGTTTTCTCTGCCTTTGTATTTCCAAGGCTTGACATGTATGCCTTGATCATCTCTATAACTTGCTTAACTTCCTCACAATAGATTGACGGCTTTCCTCTAATGTTCTGATTACTATAAAGAACTCTTAACCTGGAGTTTGCGAGGTCAAGTGGTGTTTTTCCGCTGAAATCCGAAGCATTGACATCGCTTCCTGCTTGTAGAAGGAGGGTCACTATCTTAACCTGATTTGTACATGCCGCCAGATGAAGAGGCGTGTTTCCATTTAGATCTTTTGCATTGGGATTAGCTCCATTTTCAAGTAGAACCCTTAAGGTTTGATCATTTCCTTGTGCTGCAGCAAAATGAAGAGCAGTTCTGTGTTTTGAGTCAGGACTAGAGACATTTACACCTTTACTGATCAGTTCAAACAGTGTGTTTGTATCAGATTTTTGTACAGAGTCTCTCAATTTCCTCTCTGCCAAATGATCACATCCCAGTGGTGAAACCTTAACTGTGGCATGTGTTCGAAATTTTGTTTTAGATGGGAGAAGTTTCTTGGAAAACTGCTGACCATGTTCTAGTAATGTTTGGTGTGTGTAGCTCTGTCCAAGGTTTGAAGGTAGTGCCCTGTTCACATCAAAGTTAAAAGGAATGTTTGAAGAGGACCAGTTGATTTTAAAAGCTGTTGAATGCTTGTCATCTATCATGTCTTCTTTTTCCATGTTTATACAGGAATGATATTAGGATCCTCAATGCTTCAGAGTCAACTGGACACTTCTAAGCAACATGTTTACCTTCAAAGAGGAGAACTGTTGATCAGATTTTGGACAAATTTGAAATGATGATGCAAAAATGGGCAAAAGGAGATTTGTTAATCATGCCATTAGGGATTATAAAAGTCTAGATAATCCTAATTAAGAGTAACTGGCCAATTTTGCTTCACCACCATGTCTGTCCCCTTGTCAGCCCTTTGATGATGGACGTGGTGCAGGTTTCTCTGACAAACACTTCTTTTTCATACTTTGTGACTAGAAAAAGCTTGACAGACAAACACATTGTTGGTAGACTATTCCTCTCTGTAGGCAGTCTAAATCCCACAGGGATCAAGGAACGTTTTTCATTTCACTAATTTATTTGTGTTTTTCTCGTTGCCATGTTCCCACCAATAACGTAGCTCCATTTTCTGCCTTTAAAAGCACACACAACCCACAATTCCTCTATTCGCTCCGACGAAGAGCTAACGCTCGAAACGTCAGCTTTTGTAATCGTTTTGGTGGCCAATTTACCATTTCAACTTTATTGATATATTCAAATTATCCCTCTCTGTACATCTTTCGGAGTAACCCCAGTCACCCCATGTACTCCCAATTCTCTTTCTTGGCAAACTTCTTACATCCACTATTATTTTTATCATCATTATGTATGATCATTTTTTGAAATGCTCTTGTCAAGTACGTAAGCGAAAGCAAACACAAATCTTCATTGCACTGCATTGTACTGAGATAAATTGATTGAATTGTGAAATGTTACCGAAGTAGAATTGTCTATGAACGTTCCATCGATTGAGGAAGTGACACATTCAACAAGTTAGATGTTATTATCTGAACGCTGAAGGTTTTTGATAAATGACAAAAAAAGGCTGACTTTTTACTCACCTGTATTCACTACAATCTCAATACCGTGACAAAGACTGCTTGCGTGACACAAGCGAAACAAGTAATGCAAAGAGTAAAACAGCACACAATCGCCTTCACTTTTTGAATCCCTAAAGCCTAATTGACAATAATTTTATCGAAAGAACAGCCAGAAACAGAGTAGCGTTAAAGTGACTCAGCCGTCATAGGTTTTTTCTAGAAATGTGCTTGCCTGAGCGAGGAGGGCATGGCAACGATACAATAAAAAAGAAGGCAGCGGTAGTAGATGGTGTAAGCGTAATGTATTGTCTGTGTTACCCTGCCGGTACACATGTGGGTCTCAGAGAACAACTGGATTTCTATATTTATTGTTTACATTCATGTCCCAACTGTCGTGTGGACTTTGAGTCAATGTATCACAGAAAGTGATTGTAAATGTTCGACTGACGAAGGAACTATCGACTTGTCGCAATTGGCTCTCCCCGCCAGCAGCGCACCCAGGTTTGGTAACTTGCAATCCACGATAGAGATGTTGATTGATGAATTGTACCTGATTACCTTAAAATATTTGTAAATCTTGAATAATCTCATATGCATAAAAAATGATCTTTGGTGTTGTTTTCTTTGGGAGATTTACAGAATTTTAGGTCGGAAGAGGGCATAATTTTTTCCCTTCATGAGTTAAACCTCGCCGAACGAACTTTTAATTAACGCAGGTTGCATTGCATATTATGGAAAAAGGATTGGTATACTTCTCTTTATTACATCCATTTTGAAATCACTGGTGGTCCCTGTAATCTGATTGGCTCTAATTGGTGCGATTTATTCACGAATCGCACCATTTTTTGCTCTAAATCGCATCATTTTACGCTTGACTGAGTTTTTGACACATGATGTCAAAGTGTTTCTGTTTTGCATACAAAATAAGATGTAAAAGCGTTTCCGGTTCTGCTTTTCATTTAAAAACTGGCTCAGTACTGCATCAATAAAATGTTTGAATTGACCAAGTCCTGTATTTGGGCGATTTCTAAATGGATGTAATAAAGTGGTAACTGAACATTGTGTCGTGCAATTTTGGTCTGAAATCGTACTCATGAGTTGAGATCACACCGGGGCATACTCCTAATCGATAACACCTACAGAACAAAAAAGACACTCGGGGATAGGGCGTTCGAAAATGCTGCGCCCAAAAGTATGGAACCGACTACCTCTGGAAATTAGACAGTGTCAATCGTTGGATACTTTTAAAGTTTTACTTAAGACACATCTTTTTTATTTAGCTTTCTATTGGTTCTTTTATTAATTCATATTTTACCTTTATTGTTTTTCCGAAAAATTGTTATTATTATTACTATCATTATTAGGATTAATCTCATTGCTGTAAGATTTTTAATGTTGTAATGCACATTCGATCATATCTTTTATTGCATGTTAGACTGCGCAATATAAGAAATAAACATTACTATTATTACGTATGATGCGCGATCCTCGCAGTAGAGAGCGCTATTTATGTAATAGCGAAAATCAGACCTGAAAAAAATCAGGCCTGTACGGGATTCGAACCACTGACCTCTGCGACACTAGTGCAGCGCTCTACCAATTAAGCTAACAAGCCAACTGGGAACAGGCCGTTAAGTTGATTCGTAATAAACCCGTGATGATAAATCAGATACAATGTACATATGAAGTTCATATGTTTTGAACTGTGGTATTAAATACGTATGTTGCATGATCCTCACAGTAGAGAGCGCTATTTATGCAATAGTGAAAATCAGACCTGAAAAAAATCAAGCCTGTACGTATTTAATACTGCAGTTCAAAATATATGAACTTCATATCTACATTGTATCTGATTTATCATCACGGGTTTATTACGAATCAACTAAACGGCCTGTTCCCAGTTGGCTTGTTAGCTCAATTGGTAGAGAGCTGCACTAGTATCGCAGAGGTCAGTGGTTCGAATCCCATACAGGCCTAATTTTTTTCAAAATCAAACGAGCGCGATAATAATAATAATAATAGTCAGATACAATGTATATATGAAGTTGAATTGCTGATTTTCGCTATTGCATAAATAGCACTCTCTACTGCGAGGATCGTGCATCATACATATTTAATACCGCAATTCACGTGTGTGATTTCAGCCCAATTTGCACTCCACTCAGTTAAATTACCATTATAAATTATTTCTTTTCCTCCTTTGGTCCGTGTAGTTCTTCATGGGAATATTCCTATCATTGATGGAAACCAGAAAATAGGGCAGTTTGTAGGGCATTCATTATTCACTCTCACCTCTGTAAACAATTTTTTTTAAAGGAGGTTTAGAACTTTTCTGCAAAGGAGCTTACATCTTAGATCCTTAGGGTTTTTTTTTGTTGTTGTTTTTTTTTTTGGAAGGCACCTTTACAAAAAATCTTGTATTTAATTTTCAGAGGGCACCCACTGAAAAAAAAAATTAGGGATTTTTGCTGTCCATGGTAGGTTGGGGGATTGCATCATATCTCATCATAATCCCCTCATGTCAGGTAATTATAGCAGCAGCGCTGAATTTCAGAGTGGTTGCTTTGGGTTTTGTCAGTGCCAAAGGCGCCTTATGAAATGCTGACATCCGATCTCTTAAGTGCAACTAAATATATCCACATAGAAGTCTGTGCTATATAAATCTAAATATGTATGTATGTATGTTACAGAGGAAGTGATGAATGTGATAGAGAAAATTAAATTCACGAGAGCATAAAAGGTACTGTCAAGTTTGGAGTAACAGCTTTCAAAAGAAAGATATGAAGCTTTTGCTGGTTGAACTAAATGAACCTATCAGATTCTAGTAGGAACTGGCTCTGGGGATAATTCAATAATAATTACTTTGCCTTTGGCAATTAATTGTTAAATGTATATCTAGGGATGCAAAGTACTGTAATTTAAAGTTAATTATTTTTCTTAAAGGTTTAAGGATGTTGCTGTTAAAGGTGTGGAGGGTTTGTCAGTTTCCTGGAATCCTTGTAACAAGTGGACCAAACCTTCATCTCCAAGTTCCCAATACAAGGATTGTGAAAACATAGCTGTAAGTCTGAGCCTTAGTGTCTAAGTGGGATGTGGCATCATGTGGGTGTCATGTATGGTAATTATAACTTACACCAGCCATGAATAATGGCATCGTTTGGTTATCAAAGCTACAGAATCATGTTGTAACTTATAACTTGATATGTAGCATAATGTCTGAAGGGGGATTTTGATATCTATACAAGACATATGCACAAAGAATTGAACAAAGAACCAACACTAGATTCTTCAGTTACTGGGGAATATCCAAAAAAGTGGATACAACTCAGGTGTGAAGTAGGAGAAGCTGTGAGCCTTATCAGGGCTCGACACTGATGGTAGCCCACTAGCCACAGACTAGTAGGAATTCAGTTTTGGCTAGTGGTTTTCGGTTTCCACTAGCCAGTTTGGTTAGTAAACGAACTGACATTGTCGTAGATGTAAGATGTCACCATCCACTTGGCTAGTATGTTGAAAAATTAGTGTCGAGCCCTGCTTACTCATTACACAACTTGGAGCTGCAGACAATTCTATAAGCTAGTCATAAATTTAAATTGGAATATGGAATCTTAAAACTCTAAGTAGGCCTGCAGCCAAGTGGTTCATGTTCTATGACCCAAGGCACATGCCTTGCAGCCCAGGCATAACCTCATGGACAGCTGCCTGTGACTTGTGGCCAGCAGTTTTAAGCCCCTTTATGGCCTGCAGCATGAAGTTCAAGTCACAGCCTTGTAGCCCAGTAATCTGTGACACGAGCAGGGATTCTGGCATTATGCGCTGGTGCGGACCTGCATAATCGGCCATTCTTCATATAATCCCGCATAATTTGTCAATTAAATCAATAATTATGTTACCTATCTTGGTGTCTGGCTTGAGTATTGTATTTATCCTTTTTCTACAGTCGTACAAAATACCAAAGTATCGTTTTAATTCAATAAAACAACCACATGGATTCGAAGACATTTTGTTTTTATAAAAATGAGAAGGCATTAATAAAAATGTCAGATGAGGGCCTGGAACCGATATGAAGCTCGGCCCAGGCTCCAGCATTTGGCAGTTTCCAAGATGGTGGACGTTTACAAGAATTGCTTTCTGTTTTGACCATATTATTGCTTTTATTGGAAGGAGTCATTTATCAATAATGCGTAATATTCCATTTTTTTATAAAAAGAAACAATAACTGAGTTTTCTAAGTGAAATTAGTTATATTTTAGGTTTTAAGCAATGATATCATTGTGCATAATTTCGCGCATAATCTTCCCGCATAATCTTCCCGCATAATCTTCCCTAAAAATCCCGCATAATTTTGATTTTTTTCGCACATAATGCCAGAATCCCTGCACGAGGCTCACTTCATGGTTGTCATATTCAAAAACAGATCAATACAGTGGAACCTCCATTTAACGAACCTTTATATAGCGAAGTCGTATGACAAATGATACTTTTCAGCCTAGCTCAAGTTACAGTAAATTGTATATATAATGAACCTCAATATAATGAAATCCTTGTTATAACAAACACAATCCAGAAGCCTAGTACCACTATATAATGAACGAATGTCAACAAAAGGCAAATTCAAAACAGACCACCAACAACAATCAAAATCCTTTAATTCTGCAATAATAGAACAACTTCATTATGAAAGCTGACACTGACACTTTTGACACATCTACAGATCCACTTTATCCTCACATCAATAACAAAAAAACCAACAATATCAACAATTAGTATATACCAAAACAGTGGATAGCGTTGAAGGCTCGCTCTGATTGGCTAGTCAAACTCCGAATATCCTTTGCTATTTACCTCCAAGCAACTCGGGAAAAAATGGCGTCTCAGTTTGCATCTGTGACAAGCGAAGAAATCACTCAAATTAGCGATGAAGCAGTCCCTGAAAACACAAAGGAAGCGACTAAATTTGGTCTGGCCGCGTTTAAAGGTAATGGTTTAAGTTTTTAACCCGGAGTTTATCGATAAAACCAGTGAGAAAGGTTTTGTTTACAAATGCAAATTAATCCTGCATAACCTCACTTGTTCACTTCCGCGCATGAAAATGTTGGAACCGTTGCTGGAATGTATGAATTAAAATCAATTTTTGGTGGTGTACATTATCTCACTGTTTTAGTATATACTAAAACAACTATTCACCTCAGTGTCGGTGGTTAGCAGTGGATATTTACCTCGCTGCTCGGTAAATATCCACCACTAACCACCTCCACTTCGGTGAATAGTTGTTAATTATTTGCCGAAGGCGAGGTGAATAACATCGAACAATCCCCGAGATGAAGTTGAGGGGATTATTTGACAATATTCACCGAACCTGAGGCGAATAATTGTTTTAGTATAATTTCAGAGCTGAACAACAGAGAAATTTCTAAAATCATAACATTTTAGTAACATTTATTAACATTTTATTTTAACATTTTATATAAACTGTGTGGAGCGGTTTATATAGCGTCATATCAGGAATCTCTCGACCAATCAGATTGCTGGAAACTCTTTGCTGAGCTCTGAAATTATACTAACAACAATTATTAGCCATACCTAAATACAATGAACATTGGTTGTTTTTCCACAAATTTGTTACATCAAGGTTTTCAATGTAAGGAACCCTTGATATAATGAACTAATTTCCCCAGTCCCTTGGGGCTTCATTAACTCAAGGTTCCACTGCATAGTTATGAATCCCCTGACAATTGTGGACATGATTTCTCAAACAATGTAAGTTTCCAGTTTCATTTGCGAAAAAAGGAGGGGCACTATAAGTTAAACATAGATGACTTTGGCAAAATGAGAGCCAAAATGATAGCAAGTGTAGAATACTTCTTGCACCTCTCATTTGCTGATGTCCTGTTGCCACTCTCCTGATGAGAAAATAAGGCTTTTAAAGAAGGAAGAGAAATTCACTTGAGGATGAATGTCCACAATGTCATTGTAAATACTGGTCTGTACAGAAAATAAAGCTATTCTGCAGTTTTCCTAGATTCCTCAAGTAAAACCTGAATTACCTAATGCACATAAAGAAAAGCTTCAATTTAACCAGAGTGAAACAATTAAAAGTACTCTAAAGATTTTATAGAATTGATATGATTTAAGTGGCATAGAAACCCAGAACCATCCATCTTGCATCATAGAGGACAGAGTCATTTTTGCTAAGACATGCCAGCCATGATATAGATCTGGGGCAGCTAGGCTATGTAGTTGGTAGCAGGTTGCTGGGTCCTGAGCTGTGAGGTTAACCAAAGGGCAAGAGGATACTTCCAGGGGAAAAAAAACTCCAGTTGGTATTTTGAATTAACAATTGAAGAATTTAACAAAAACATGCAAAGTCAAAGATCACCAGCTGCCTTTCATTATGTACAGCCCTATTGAAGACTCTTTGAAAATGTGAATGCCAAATAAAGAGACCAACCATCTGTTTTCACCATTAGGCTTGTGGTACGATACTTACTAATAACTTTGACATTGGCCAACAAGAGACTGCAGAATGTTACTTTAACACAACAGTGGAGAGATGTGTTTTAGCATTTACAGGAAAGGTCTATCTTGACACAGAACAAAGGTACATCAGAACTGAGTATTTATGGTCTTATCAACTGACTTCATAATGTAAATTGGCCACCATAAAGAGTTTCAAAGCTAATGTTTCCGGCGCTAGCCCTTCATCAGAGCAATGACAATTATGTGCCTCCACTGTCCTCAAATTGCAAGGAAACCTCTGTATACTCCACGTGTCACCACCATAACCAATCTATTTGGGGTTTGATATCTGGGATGTGAAAATTTATCAGGTTTGGTGGTTTTACTTGCAGTTTTCTGTTTTGATCAAATTTTTTTGTGGTTCTGGGTGATATTCTAGTAGACCCCAATGCCCCCCTCTTTAAGGGCTTGGTTATGGTGGGTCCTCTTCATTATCATCATTCTTTCCCCCAAAAAAGGTAAAGTCTGCACTTTAGCCAGCTGGCCCATCCTGCCAGAGCCTTAATCTTGTATAAATCTACTGATAGTATTACTACTTCCCCCTTGAGGAGATGCTTGTACATCATACAGTTACCCCCCAGCATTTGGTCACCAGCCTCCTGGCATATTCCCTTTGGTGATAGCTGGGGTACTGTTAGGGTAATTTGTCTTGCCTAATTCTATAGCTTGATGACATGCATGTGTGGCCAAGTCTTGTGCTGGGAGATTTCAACACAGAGTTCAGTGCACTAACTGTTAGGCTGCTGTGTCTTGCATGCTCTTATCTATGATGCCTAAATTTTTGCTATTTTACATCAAAATGTAAGGACTCTGAACTTGTTTGTAAATCTAATGGGGTTGTTTCTTTATAGCAGGGTTCTAAAAGAAGGTAAAGATAATACAGCTACTCATTATGTTAAGAAACAAGTACAAATTTAATGGTCATGAACCCTTGCATTTATCATTATATTAATTCCTTATACTTTTTGTTAGCCCTAAAACTTTCATCACTTTGGAATGTGACTCAAGTGAAGAGGGCCAGCTGGAGTCTATTGGTCCCTCAGAGAAAGTTGATGATTCTGCTCATTTTGTAAGTTTAGCATAATGAAAATTTGCTTCAAAAATGTAAGAGTTACTGGCATCTAATTTCTCCTTACATATTAATCCTTAAATCAAATGTAAAGGTCCTGAGATTAATGGAATGATCAAGCTCTTGATTGCCAAACAAGTTCTCCTTCTGAAGAGGTACAAGGGTTAACTGTTAACTATTTACATCCTAACATCGGTACATGTATTCTCCATACTGTTCTCTACACATTTTCTAAGGTGTTGGGTAGGAGAATATGTTTAAAGAGTTTCTTTGGGTAGTGATCATTTCCTTGATTCTCATGACCTTAATGTGTGATTCAGGTGTGATATTGTAAGGAGGAATTAGATACTGGTCACTCTTAGAGATCAAAGGGTTAAATTTAGCAGAGGTGTAAGCTGAATACAGGCTTGTTTTGCAGTAAATTAGAGATGACAAAAGAAGGACTTTGGCTGGTATTAGATTAATTTTTTTTCCTTTGCTAACAGAGTATATAATGTATTGAAAACATGTGGCAGGATGCAAAACCTTTCTTGAAGTCACTGAGCCTTTCTTTACTTGCATATTCAAAACTTTCTTTCAATTTCTTCCTTATCAGCCATTCAAACTTCACTCCAAGTATGCTTGTCCCAGAAAATCAAGTTTGAGTGCAGGAAGTGTGTTAATCATAGTGTAAGTAATTTAAGTACTGATTAAAATATTTTTGTCCATTATGTGTAACTCAAATTCAGTCAGCTCTCTCAGGGCTCATCACTAACTTTTCAAATTACTAGCTAAGTGGCTAGTGACAACTTTGATGTTACAACAATTTCAGTTTGTTTACTAGCCAAACTGGCTAGTGGAAATCGAAAACCACTAGCCAAAACTGAATTTCTACTGTCTAGTCGGTGGCCAGTTGGCTACCATTAGTGTCAAGCCCTGTCTTTGGTTTATGGGATGTAATTTCTTTCCTTGTTCCTTTTTTTTTTGTTCAGTTTTGGATCCTTACTTCTAGCATACATAGTAGCTGGAATTCTTTTCAATAAGTTTCATCGAGGAGCTACTGGAAAAGAAGTCATTCCCAACATCAACTTCTGGATGGACTTTCCATTGCTTGTGAAGGTGTGTACCACATATGTAAAAAAGTCTGAAAATTGTATTTTATCATATATATATTATTTAAATTTCTGGTTTCCAATGTGCATTCTTTAATAAAAGAGGTCTCTGGAATGGACCTCTATCCCTTGCAAAGGGGAGAGGGAAGGGACCCAAATATTTCTGGCTAATAATGTGCACCTCTTACAAAACCCATGCAGTTTGTAGAAAAAAAATATTCATTTTTTTTTTTTCATTGTAGGATGGTGTGGCGTTTTCATACCAGTTTTGTAAGAAGACTTGTGGAGGAAAACGAAGCTCATATGAATCAATATGAATCCCATTCCCTTAATTCTTGAGTAAACTTGGCTTGAAAAAGTTTTCCTGATAGAAGTTCTTTTCAGAGATTGAGTGTTTCTGATTGGTAGCAGTTGGAGTATATACTTCTGTTTTGTTGAAATTAATTTTTGCAAATTATATTTCATAGATAGTTATTTCATTTATAATTGAATTTATTTACTAGGTATCTAGTTCATTAATTTTGTCATTATTTAATCACTGATGAAATATGCTACAACATCATCTCCCAAGTTAAAGAGATGTTGACGTTATTTACATCATCATTATTATCAAAGAGGTTAAAAACAACTTTTATTTTGAAGGAGTAATTATATTTATCATTTTTATAACATCAAGCGTGGTTGAAAGAAAAAATACACTTTTTTGGAATGTTTGAATGAGTTGTGTTGCAGTCCCCCCCAAGCAAAAAGGCATGTTTCTTGCATGTGGGAGGTACTGAATGGACTTGAGGTTTTGATTGGTCCAAAATTCTTTTGAGTGAATTTATCTCATAATTGGTTGAAAAAACATTGGGTGGTCCTGAAAAAGCAGACAGTCCTTGTCTTTTATTTAATAATTAATTTTTCTTTTTATGAGGTTACCTCACTGGGTTGATGTGGGAGACCCAAAAGACTCCTGAGCTCATTAATACTCTCTTGTTGTTAATAGGCCATTTTGCAGTTGTGTACTTAGTTGCCAAGCCTTTGATTCAGAATGAGGCTAAAGATGACCTTGTTGTGATAGAGACCTGTATCTAGTTAGCATGATAACAAACTGATTTACATTTGAAAGGCAGCAAGGTTTGTATCATAACAAGGTCATCTCTAGCCTCACTCCCGTTTAAAGGCTTGGCAACCAAGCACACAACTGTAAAATGGAATATTAGTATATTTGTTTTTCAATAACAGTGCAAGTTTGATTACACCAAAAATTAGTGGAGAGATATGACACGACCATCCACAACAAGAACTGTTTAAAGCAATTCATAGCAATTTTCAGATTCTCTGTTCATCTCCGTTATCTCAGATTTACCTCTTCATGTTGGCCAAAAAGAAAGTGCATGGCTTTCTTCCCCACGTAGAACATTTTAGGCAAAGTAACCTTCCCACCAGTTTTCTTTCTCCCTTTCTTTCTTTCAGACCAACATTCAAGGTCTTAAAATAACTGAGGAGAATGTGCTACCTTTCTATAATATCAAGAAATGGATAGACATTCTAGTCTTCTCGGATAAGGACGAATAAACCGTAGGTCCAGTCTACTGCAACTATTAATTAGTTAATTTGGTTAGGCAGGGGACGTTAAAGAACCAACTCCCGAGATTACTGTGATGTGGTTTGGCCTGTTTACTGGGAATTGAGGGGTAGCTGGCGAAAATGTTGCAAGATGATATATATGTTAATGTAAATATCCGTCCGTCATCATCTCCACACCTCCCTTTCACGACCTGGGTAAGCGTTGCGTGACAAAAGGCGCAGGGATCACGCGAGTACCGATGCGCGACGGCGGTCAGACATATACCTCTCTATTGTAAAGACGATACTGGGAAAATAAATTGGAATAGACCGTTGTGTCTATTACGTCTACAATGGATTCGTTAAAAAAGATCCGAGAAGTCGCAGTGGATAAACCTCGATTACCCTAAATTTGCGAAAATATGAGTCCATGACAAGTACTTATTGTTCACAAGACTTAGATGTATTGCAAATTACCTTTCACGCTATCAGTGAACTTTGTTCACAAAAGGTAAAGACCTCAACCGGTATTTTTTTTATACTTAGTTTGATTTCTTTCGCAATGATTTTCAGTCCATTATCATTATGAATGTCTATAGCTTTTTTTCAATAAAGGTAGTTCGAGTACGATAGCGAAAATTAGAGTAAAACTGTTTGATCGTCTTATGATTAAGTGTTCGTATAATGGCGGGAATATACCTTCACGTGATGGCGGCTAAATTCAGCCAATCACAACATGCAGGTGCACCTACATAATTCGGAAAGTGTGTACACGTGGAAAATTAAAATTCACCTCGGAGATAAAGCACATTCGCTTACTGGAGGTAGAAACAGGATGGCGTTTTCTCTAAATCTTAAGCGTGTTTTAATCAGTGACAGTGTGGATAGCTGTTGTAAAACCATTTTGGAAGCGAATGGAATCGCTGTGGATCTTAAAACGAAGCTCACGAAGGAAGAACTTCTTGCAGAAATTCCTGTACGATAATTTTTTTTAAATTTGTCAAGGTTAGATCGTATTTTGTTCATCTAATATCTTTTTTTCAGAACTATGACGGTTTGATTGTCCGATCAGCAACAAAAGTAACAGCTGAGGTGATCAAAGCTGGAAAGAATCTTAAAATTATTGGTCGCGCTGGAACAGGCGTCGATAACATCGACATCCCGGCTGCCTCTCTTCAAGGAATTATTGTCATGAAGTAAGAAGTTATTTGGTTTAAATTTATTCACTTAAATCTTTACAAGTTGTATTTAGTTTTTAAACATTTCATCGATGTTCGGTAACATCTACTCGCGTCACACCATTGTGAAATTATTGTGTAAGTTGTGATACGTTTATAGAAACTTGAATTTAAATTGTCAAAGGATGATTGAGATCGCCTACATAAACATGACCATTCTATTTTGGAACCGCTTTTCTGTTATATTTAAGTACTGAGGTGGACTGTTAGATTGCAGCAGTTAAATGTAATTTCTTAGGTGATGTGACTCATAATTAGCCAGTCTCTGTGAAATCACAAACCCGTCGTAAAATTACTGAAGTGTAAAATTACGTCACGCCGAGGAACAACATTCCATCAACCTCTGCCTTTTCATAAAATGGTACATCTGCAGTACTCTGATTACTAATTTTGATCATTTGATTTCTTTCACAAATGAATTTGTCTGCTTTCAAAGTTTTATATATTTTTCAAATATGTTCCCTTGTGACACCAATGTGATCATTGTAATTGGTTGGGGGCTCACATGGGTTTTGTCATCCAATGCATTTTCAAGGATTATTAAACACACGCCAGTCCCTAAATGATATGCATATAATTTTCTACAAATGAAGCAGGAATCCTCACCAAAGCCTACACAGCAAATATTATGCAACCATAGTTTTTAGCAAGCCTCTAACAACCATTGCTTGACTGCCTTTGATCAAAGGTAAAAGATTATCAAAATAGGTTCATTCATTATTTCTGAGGAGCTGAAATGATATAATTATTAAAGCCTTGTAGATGTTGATTGACAGCCCCCTTAAAACTTGTTTTTTGTTTGTTGCATAGCACACCGGGAGGTAACACAATCAGTGCCGCTGAACAGACTTGTGTACTTATCAGCACCCTTGCAAGGTAAAAATTTGGTTAAGAATTAAGAGGATACTTCTCAAGTAAGAATCCTAGCTTTGTAGTAGTTTTCCCATTACATAAATGTAAAAAAAAGTAAATTGCAGAGTAAGATAATTGTTAATAACTTCTTGCATTCAAAGACAAATTTTTAAAAGAATTGCTGTCAGTGCTAATTTTTCTCATTAAAGCTATTTGATGCAGTTGAAAAATACCCGTAAAGTAAATGGGATATTTGGTTTTATTATTGGTGTTGTTTTTGCCTTTTTTGTGATCACCAATTATAGCCAAAATCAGAACAAAAAAAACCTGTTGATCCTTGCAGGTTGGTATGTCCACTGGAGTGGTCATATTTACCAGATTTATCTCCAGTTGTAGCAATGCAAGTAACAAATTGAAGATAAAAATTGCTTTGCAGTTTACATCTGTCATCTTGATTTATTATGAAATTCTACAAAAACCCAAAGAAGAAAGTAATTATGTATGGAAAACTTAGTCTATAACATATAAAAAAATTCAAAATGCATGGTTGTCCAAAGGTTGAACATTGTGCTTCTTCTCCTAACGCAGACATACAGCTCAGGCAGATGCCTCAATGAAAGCAGGAAAATGGGACAGGAAGAAGGTATGCTTACTATTTTGGTCTGAGAGGGGAAAGACTCTAATATAAAAAGAAAGGTGGTCTCTTTGGCTCATAAAGGTGTAGAGCTTGTGAATTTTTAACTCTCTTTGATTAACCACTCTTGGAGATAAGTCATTGTGGTCGTTCTATTTTGGTGGAAGGTGATTAGAAATGAAGTCAAGGTAGCAATACATATGCTGTGTAGTGTTTTAAATAAATTTAAAGAGACTCTGACTCATTCACTGGTTTAAAAAAGGTATCTCTAGGGGCTCTGAAAGAGTGTGAGCCACACCCTGTTTTTTTTTTGTACTCCAGGACTGAACACAAATTTCCAACCAGCATTCCCCACTGGAAATTTGGTTCACTTGAGGTTTGCCACTAAAATAAGGTTTAAAAATATGTGGGAAACATTTCAAGCATGCCTGTGGATCTGACAACAGCACACAGTTTCGGGAAGTTATCTGATTCCAAAAACAAAAGTAGCTCAGAATTTCAAAGACAGTTATCAACACAACTCTTCCAGAGGTTGGTCTGGTGTTCAACCACTTTGTCCGATCTAAAATTGAAGAACACACACAAAAAAAGTTAACTCAGCTCTATGTTTCATACTTATTTGGCAGTATATGGGAAGTGAACTACTCGGCAAGACCCTAGCAATTGTAGGATTAGGAAGGATTGGAAGAGAAGTAGCTTATCGCATGCAGTCGTACGGTGTGACGGTAAGTTAAAAAGGAAGATTTGAAGGGTGAACTTCTACTTGATAAGTTTGAGTATTCTCATTACCTGTTTGCTGGATAACATCTGGATATTAAAGGGAGAAGTTACATGATAATCACTTCTGGGAACTAAAGGGTTAATTTTTTTTTTTAACAAGGACATACTAGCAGACCAATCACTTTAATCACATCTATCACAAATTAAAATAGATAGTTTGCAGCATTTGTGATAATGTAAAGGGATATTAAGCAAAGAATAAAGCATACAATGGTGAAAGAATCTTTGTAAATTCAAATGAAAGGAGCTGATAGTTATGTTTGATTTCCCACAAAAATTTATTTTTATAATAATGTAAATAAAAGTGTCTCCATAAATCTCTGATAATATGAATTTTGAAAATTTTAATAATTGTATTAATGGCCATTATGAAATTCATGATTTTTTGGAACAATTTTTTTGTGTTCTTTTAACAGACCATTGGATATGATCCAATTGTTCCTGCAGAAGAGTCGGCAAAATATAACATTGAGTGGATGGAGCTGGACCAGCTGTGGCCAAAAGCAGATTACATCACAGTGCACACACCTCTCATTCCACAAACAAGGGGTAGGTGCAGTCCAGAAATTATTATTAGTAATATTTAAACTCATCACCAACAGATGAGCTTGGGGAAGGTGCCTTGGTTTAGGTGGAGCCATGCGTGATGCCAGCCTGGCTTGCAGGTATCCATGGCAACCCTGAGAGCGGCAACCACCCGGCACTGTCACACTGATAAATCAGTGGAAATACTTACCAACCGACATACTTACCACTGTTGCACAACAAAGACGAACGAGAACATAGCTGGAACACAATGCAAATGCCCCTGCAACAAACCCAGTAAATGCGAACCCCCCCTGCACGTGGCTGCCTGTTGACCGCCACTGACTGCATTGGCTCAAGTTTAACGTCGCCTAAAATTACATTCAGCCACATAAAAATAAAACTAATAATAATATCATTATGATGATATCACTGGATGCATAACCCAAGTAAAGTGCACACTCTCATTTATTAATTTAAAATCACTGTGTTGTTCCCCTGTGCAGGCCTTTTGGGGGATAAGACTTTCCCTCTCTGTAAAAAAGGTGTGTATGTGGTCAACTGTGCCCGTGGTGGTATCATTGATGAGGCTTCCCTGCTGAGGAATTTGGAATCAGGGCAGTGTGGTGGAGCAGGTCTGGACGTGTTTGAAACTGAACCTCCTACTGGTGAGTGTAGAACTGAGAATTTTCTTTCTTCCCATTGTTAGTCAGTTTAATGCAGATTTTTTTTTATCATTGTAAAATGGGTTATGATAATCTGACTGCATTCAAGTGTACATTGGAAGTTGTTGTTAGATTATCAAGCTCTGTCATCCCAATTTTTTTTATTTAAAACAAGGGGTAGGGGTTCCCTTGGGTTCACAGCCACCTTACAGGAATTTTACAGGTTATGGAAAATTTAACATCGATTTGGGACTTGTTCCAGTTCACTATTTTATAATAATAATAATAATAAATATCCCTTAATCCACTCTTTGCAGTTGAAACTATGTACAAACTGAATTATCAAGCGGTATCATTTACAAAACTGTTAAATCTGATTAAAGTATAGTAATGTATAGTCTACATAATAATTAATCTAAAAATCTAAAAGCTATTTTTAGATTAGATTTTTATTATAATAATTTTTAAAAAAAGAATATTTTGCTTTTTATATTTGGTGAGTTCACTTTCAGAGTGAGAATTTAAATTTGTTTATTTGTTCAACAAGTTTAAATTATCAAAATGTGTTGAAAGAAATAAAATGGAATTCTTTTAGTCATTTTCCACCCTTGTAGAGTCATAGAATTTGAACATGGGTTATGGAAAAGGGAAGAAAACAAGTAACTATTGTTTCTCCATGGAAAAGAATGAAAGAAATGTCTTCAATTAGTGAATAATCCTTTCCTTATCTTTTTTAACCAGTTTCTCAATCATTGTTCATTGAAAATATAAAAAAATTCCTGGAAAAGGTCAGGAAAAGGTGAGGAATGTTTTAAGTTTCAAAGAGTTAAAGCCCCGTTTTACATTTTGTCTCCAGGAGTGTCCACACAACTGGCCCAACATCCCAAAGTCATAGCTTGTCCTCATCTTGGTGCCAGCACAGTAGAGGCACAAACCAGAGTTGCCAAGGAGATTGCTGAACAGTTTGTTGATGCTGTACAAGGGAAGTCACTCTTTGGTGTGGTGAGTTAAAATTTTATTTTTGAAATAAATTGCAGTGAAATATTAGTTATATATATAGGGTAAAAGCTGGTTAAAGGGCAGATCTCAAAGGTTGCAGTGACACAAATGTCAATGTACTTTTAACACACTTGTAATTCTTTTCAAATTGGGTGACTTCCCGAAACAACAAAGCGAAATGAATTTTAATATACGATGCCTCAAAGAACAGGAAGATGCAATGGTATGACTCTAAACCTTAAGATTTCCCAGATATCCTTATGAAGATGAAGTCCTTTAGGCCCTCAAAACCTGCTTTTCTGAACTACCCATTTGTACCACTAATTTGATGGAAACCTCTGATGCACGAACTAACTGTTATTTGTTAGCACTTTTTGCAAACATGTTTTATGGCGGGTTGTCATGCAGCCATTGAGTAGAGTGCAAAAAATGCTTTGAACAATGATAAAAATGAAAGACCTTGGAAAATGTTATCATATGATATGATGACTTTCATGGACTGATAGACAGGAGAATTTTTTTTGGAACACAAAAGAGCCTTAAAAAAAAAAAAAAAAAAAACCCAAGGGTGTTATTTTGTTACAGATCAATGCCACATTCTTAGCAGATGCTCTTAAGCCCCAGGCCCAGCCCTGGTTAAGCCTCGGAGAAAGACTGGGTAAGGTGGCCGCATGCCTCTCTCAAGGAAAAGTTACCAAGGCAATGGTAACAACTTATGGTGCTGATATGAAACCTGCTGGACGCTACATCACAGCTGCTGTGTCGGCAGGAATTATGGGAAGTGATGCTAATTTAGTGAATTCTTCTGTAATGGCCAAGGAAAAGGGATGTCAGGTGAGTCAAGTTACTATAACTTCAACCCCTTTCACTTCTAAGATCTCTTAAGTAATTCTCCTTATTGTGTGCTGTACAATTCATATAATATAATTTTGGAGAATTTGCTATGGGATCCACTATCAATCTCCTGATTGATATTTTTTTTCTCCTCACTTGTCTGCTTGATATTTGTAGACTTGAGTACTCGAATAAGGTTTTAATTACGAAGATCTGGTTTGACTGTACAAAAAAGGAAACAAACGTAAACAAAACGAAGCGAAACGAAACGAAAATACTACAGTGACAACATACTTACAAGATTTGTGGACTCGCAGGAAACGTAAAGAAAACATTCATGAGAAAAATAAACAAACATATAGGACCCAACTTTGACTTCTGGAGGTCCGAGCACATGGTCCATACCATAATTACAACAATACATGACGTAGATTACCAATCCCGCGCAGAGTGAACACGGGAAACCTTTTGTAACTTAGAATATTGTATTGATGTTGTAAGGAGAAGTTCTTTCTTGGTCTCTAATGGGAATAAAAGGATTAAACAGTTAACATGTATATGAGGGCTCCCACATGATTGCCTTGGACAAAACAGCAATCATCACAAAAAGCATGCCTAGATTAGGCCTTCTCTTTGCCGAAACAAACAGGTCCAAATTTAAGTAGAAGGGTTAGCTCAGTTGGTTAGAGTGCTGGACTGTTGTGTGGGGACGTCAAGATTGAGGGTTCGAGCCCCGGCCAGACCAAGACTCCAGGTCTTAAGATAACTCGGGAGAATGTGCTACCTTTCTATAATATCAAGAAATGGATAGACATTCTAGTCTTCTTGGATAAGGACAAATAAACCGGAAGTCCGGTCTCCTGCATCTACCAAATAGTTAATTTGGTTAGGCAGGGGATGTTAAAGAACCTACTCACGAGATTACTCTGATGTGGTCTGGGCCCTGTTTCTCAAAAGTACCGACAACTTAACGGGCCTGTAAAGCTGTTCTGTTTTCATTCAAGCTAACGGTGGGGATTTCAAAAGTTTTAAAAATGAAAAAATATAACTATTAGCTAAAGAAACAAAAAGGGCTGGTTTGGGAGTCATAACTTGCATTCCTATCCTTTAAATTTTGATTTTAAAACATGTTTTCAGGCCCATTAAGTTACAGGGACTTTTGAGAAATGGGCCCCTGACCTTTTTACTGGGAATTGGGGGAGGAGGGGGCATCTTCAAATAAGTTTCCTTTGATTGTTTGTAAACTGCTGATGCAGTCCGGCCAAAGTCCCCAAAAAAGTGTTGTGATGTGCATTTGATCATATTCACATGTTAATTTGTGCAATATAAATATTAAATTATTATTATTAAATTATTATTAAATTATTATATATATTTCTTACAGTAATAACAATCAGTTCTGTCATTTATTTATGACCCGGAAACCATAAACTGGGTTTGTTCTAGTGTAGACACTGTCACTCTGAGTTGAATGTCGAAGGCAGCATGGCCGAGTGATTAGGGTGCTGCACTTATAATCTGGTGTCCCAGGTTCAGGTCCTCCACCCTGCCACTCACTGGATTTGTTCTCGGATGCCCAAAATATATTAATGAAGGGTCATCAAAGACATGGGCAGAGAGAGGAGGGCTTGAAAAGTTGCAATTTTACCACACAGGTATTTTGAACCGGTTAAGAGGATCGTAATGTACTGAATGTTTCTTACAGACTTTCTCTATGCCTTATTTGAGTAACTTCGTGAGTGTTTCAGCCACGCCCTTTTAATCAGCAGTGGACAAAGTTGATTACATTCTTCTCTTACGCTGTTGTTGTGCTTTCTCATTTCAGGTATCGTCCACCCACGTGGATACTGTAGGTCTCCGTTATCCTGCTGCAGTGTCCATCACATTTGATAGTGACGGCAAAGTCACTACCTTAACAGGAACAGTGGTGGGTCTCGATGTACCAGTGTTGGTTAAATTTGACAGTCTGGTGTTCTCTGGTGCAGTGCCACTCTCTGGAAATTTGTCCTTTGTTAAGGGAAGTCCTGGAAAGGTTTTGGCCGACCTTGTGCCAAAATTTGGCGAGAATGGTACAATCAACTATGTCCATGTAGCAGGAGGAGATTCAGAGAGTATTGTTGTTGTCAGCACTTCCTCAAAAATCTCAGTCGGTTACCCCTGTATCACTCTGTGAACTGTGTGTTTGGTCTTTGGTGTGAACGGCCTCTAATAGTGTTTTTCACTCCAAATTAAATTCATCAGTGATTCATATAGTTTTGCAACCAAACTGCCAATGTGGTCACTAGGTTTTGTAAGGTCCAGTTCAGACTCACATCTTTTCCTGTTGATAAACCTAGTCTTGCTAAATTAGAATGCGAAAAGTTTGATGTCTGAATCAGTTAGGAATAACATTTTCAGTTTATAATGTCTCTGCCCCTCCCCCTCCCCCTCCTTTTTTTTTTTAGCTGGGAAGGAATTTTGACCCTAGAAGGACTTTGATTCAAATACCGAACCCACTATATGCCAAACTTGTTGCATTAATTCTAATAAATGTTTCATGAAACTGTTGGTCATCCACAATGCCTGAAACAACAGGCATTCTAATGGGTTGGCCCAAAATGGAAGGAAGTGGATATCATGAAAACTGTGATGTCTGGAATAGGCATAAGTCACGAGGTTGTTAATGATATGAATTTAAGAAAAGGGTATTACGACATCAAGAGGACAAAATGTGTCTTAATTTGCTGCTAATTTAATGTTAATGGTAGACTGTAACAATACAATTAAAAGAGGAGCATGAATTAAGCTTCTCAGCTCCACCTGTAATTTGCAGATTATGCATTTTGTGTAACTCAAATGTCTTGCTTGTCGAGACAGCGCAAGAGAATTGTGAGAAAACTGTGAAGTGACTTACAACACCTTAGCCTTAGATCGCAGTTAGAAAAGATAGTTTACAAAGCAAAGTTGACAATATTTATTAACTATAATTTTTTTGCGGACGCAAAATGAATCTGTTTTTCAGTGTGTTTTGACACCGCGAGTTCTTGTAGGTTACAACGCGTTTATAGTTTTACTAAGTTATGTGTTGTGTCCAACCATAGACCTCCACTAAATGAATAGAATGGTAAATTGTTGTTTCTGTCTAAACCCCTGTACTTTCTAGAGTAACTAAGGCAAAATTTCTACTTACGATATCAATACAGTATCAGGCAGACAAGAAACGAGAATACTGAAAAATTTCCAATATTTTCAAACTAAAACGATAAGAATTATATGGCAGGTGGTAAGAAGAATCACTTATTAGATCTTGGGAGTGAAAGGGTTTTTAAAAAGCGCCTGATCTTTGCCCACAAGGCAAACGCAAACATAAGATGACATGGACGACACTGAATGTATGTACGTTTGAGTATGATTTAACAGGCCCGTAGGCTGGTTTTTTCCTGGGTGGGTTCTTTTTCGCTCAAAACGGACCTTTAATGTTAAACTTAACGTTGTTGCAGAAGATTTTCCAGTTGAAGTCGACGGGGGTGTAGCCGAGCATAACAGTCTACTACAGTGTCCAAGTCTACAGGGGTAGTGTAGTGAATGTGCAAAAGCGCAAGATGGGACAAGCGATCTTTTCCCATCGATGCACGCATGTAGTTAATCAATCGACGCAATGTGCTTGCGCTTCGTTCGCATTCGCACGATGTGACTGGAATTGTGCAGGCAATTTGGAGAAGAATGCTAATATTTGGAAAGAGGGCAGCATCACAATCTTTGATTGCCACAGCAGGTGAAGCTGGCCATAATTGCGGTTCCATTGCTAAGTATCGACTTCTCCATCGCGTAAGTTCCATTTCGAGCAACTCCGAACCCCCCTCCCCCCCCTCCCCCAGCCTACGGGCCTGTATAAACCCACTGAGGAATCCTGGTAGCGGGATCCAAAATTTAACAACGCCTTGGACTTGCCGTGTGTTCCTGCTAGTTTCCTAAGATCAGTTTCTTGTACCTGTTGAGCGGCGATGCAAGTCTGCTGTTTTGCATTCCTTCGATAATTTTAAGCAGACCTGAACAAAGAACTTCGTACTGCACAGACACGGTCCCAATTAATCGGGAAAAGTTATCAGATTCGGCGACTTGAACGTCCCGAAACTAGAATAAATCTTCGTACAGTCAAGGAGGTGGAAGGGCTCATGAGAATTTTTAACTTTCTAGTTGGGGTTGTCGTAAGAGCTTTTACAGTAAGTCTGCGCATAGCCAAGTAGTTTACACTGAAGTTACCCAATTCTCCCCGGCGTGGAGTGACTGGTAATCTTGTTCCCGCCCCGGAGGTAAATTGGTCCCTTATAGAATACCCTCAGCATTCTCTAAAGTTTTCCTGACAGTTTTTATGGTATTTATCTACACTATAAGTTGGAGAAAGACACTCGTTAGGAAAGTGTCTCGTACCAAGAACGTAACCAATGACCCCAGCCGGACCCTACCCCAACCCTCTCTCTACCTCCCTCGAGAAAGTACTGAGAGAGGACACTGGGAACAAGGTTGACAGCCCACACGAAGAGGGCTCCAAATCAGAAGTAGACAACTGCCAATATAAAACAAGAGAACTTTATGATTGTTCGAGTTTTATGAATCAAATTTAATGTCATGCATAGCTTTTTGTCTACAGATTATAAATATCTTTTGTGTCATTTTCAGCGGTTTACTAAAATCTACATTCCAATAATAACCTAAACACCAATTCAGGTTTTATCCTCTCCGACAAGCTTACGATCATTCTCCACGAGCTGTAAAAGTTAAACAGAATTGAAGAAGCTATCCGTGGATTAGGGAACTTTCTCATAGTCTGGGCTCTTCAGACAAGGACAGCACTTAGCGAGTATCATTCCCAGCGCAACCTGCAAGTGGAAAATACGAAGAAAGGTTTTCAAAAGTAAATTATGAGAAGATAACAGTAAGTACAGTTTGTCTGAAGGAGCCATCCTCACCAACCTCGATCCTAGGGCCTTTTCCCCGCCGCACCCCCAACTAGGGGAAAAAGTCCTGGGAACGAGGTTGAATCCTTACAAGGAAATGCGCAAAGTTTTAAAATGCACAGACAGGGCTAATGTTCCTCGCAATTAATATTTTGTGTCGCCTTGCTTTAGTTGGTGTCATGTCATGATTTGCTTAAATTTCCTTGATGAATGCTGTGGTGACACTATACGAGAAATTTTCTCCTCTGTCAAGCTCAAAACCCTCACAAAAGAGCCAGTTACTCGCAGCTAAGCTGCAAATCGCCTCACCTTCATCGAGGTACACATTGACGGCTTTGGAACTCCATCGGGAAGCTTGCTCCGCAAAACGACAACAAAAACAAAGAAGGCGACGATCACAGCACCCAGAATAAAAACGCCACTGAAGAAAAAACAAAAAGTCAGGTTAATACAGAGATAGACCACCCAATATTACCACATGACGATCAATCTCTCTTCCACTTCATTTTTTGGGGCAGTGAAGCTCATAGCGTCAAATTGAATTATTTTAATTCAGCAAATAAATTTGAGGTAAATAAATTGACCGTTGCATGATATTTGCAATCGCGATCACACCGCAAAAAGAAAGAAAAAAAAACCTGTGGGCTTTTAAATACAGTCGAGTTTGACCCCTCTGATCCTTTTTAGAGCGCATTTGGAGCACTAGGACTCAAGCCCTCTCTTTGTCACCTACACGATTGTAGCACACTCGTTTTTCTAATTATCTTCTACTCTGTTCTCAATTTTTGCTTACCTAATTAAGGCGACTGTACCCAGGTCGCTCAAGCCACTAGGGCTAGAAGGGCTAGAAGGGCTAGAAGGGCAGGCATATTTGGAATATAATACAGTCTCCTGAAAAAGAAACTTATCGGTCAGTTGACTTGAGCAAACCGAAGCAAGGCAAAGAATAAAAGAGTGAAGCCTGGAACGGTAAGAAGAGGAACCGTAGGAAAGACTGAACGAGATAGAGGTATTATAGGTACTTTAATCACATGAAAGCAAACAAACAAACAAACAAATAAACTATGGCAGTCAATACATTCTTCTATTGACTGCTTTAATTCGTTGTGTTTTTGTTCAAGAAAACGCTCGCCACTTTCTTGACCAATCAGATTCAAATCTAAAACCAGTCACGACTTTTCCTTTGCTCCGATTGACCGAAGTATTACTTTAGCTTTGGTGTTATGAAACTTAATGTTAATTCCGTACTGACTTTAGGAGCTTACGTAAAAATTTTCGGTGATATTAGCAGTCACTGATTCAACCCTGCCTTCCTCTTTTGTCTCGCACTTTAGAAGCACAGAAAACACTGAAGTCCTGAAAACAAACAAATAAACAAACAAACAAGTAGTGATTGACGTTTAAAGAATACTTAGTCTATTGGTTTTTATGTACTGCTCGTTTCCTAAATTTTAATTAAATTAAATTAAAATTTGCCATGATTAATATAATCACTTTAAGGCTAGTTTAGCCTCAAGCGTAAATTAACATCGCTACTTTAATAAGGATTCTAAAAGTTTCTACGACCATCGAAAATTGCTGACATTTTTTAAGATTAATTTATTCCAAGTTGGTGCTCAGTCCAACACATGTAAATGAATTTCTGAATAATTTTCCGAGGAGCAGTTAGTCAACTTTGATCCCAGCTGGGTCTTTTCCCTTAAGGTGGGGCGGGAAAAAGCCCTGGTATCGTCCGATGAAACCGTCATTTTGATTGGTTGATTGATTTAAATAATTTTGTTTAAAATAATTTATACATTATCCCGAAGTCAAAATGGCGGAAAGGCCCAACCCTAACTTAGGGAAAAGGCCCTGGGAACGCGGTTGGCAGTTAGTTTGGCATTTTCGAGCGAAAGAGTCCTGGGTGAGAGATTGCGCGCGGATCTTTGAATTATTTGGAGGATATTCTGGTAGACAAAGGTTTTCCAGAAAATAAGGTTGCCATAAAGCAGAATTCTGCTAAACAACCTCACTGATTCAATGTCTTGATAGTATAGTTGAAGCTGCCCTGTTAACACGTGAGGACCTCAGGACACCCTCAAGGCGTGTTCAGGAAGCCTTCCGGAAGTACAAAATGTGTTCATTACACTTGACTACTTAGGGAAATGATAAAATGCTTAATTCTTGTACAGTGGAACCTCGACTTAACGATGTGCCAAGAGACTGGGCAAATTGATTCGTTATATTGAGGGTTCGTTATATCGAGGTTCTGTGGCATACATTTTACTGTAATTTTAGCCGGACTGAAACTGAAGTATCGTTCGCTATACCGAGGACTTTGTTATATAGAGGTTCGTTAAATCGAGGTGCCACTGTATAAAGCTAAGGAAAGTGTGGACTTTCCAACCAATTAATTGAGGTTAAAGGTCACACTCGCTGCTTACTTCTCAAAAAAGTCCGTCCTTTCCGACTCTATATCTCTTGATTTCCCGTATCTTTAAGATCTGTTTGATTACGAGAACCGCAGATTGACTACAGTCAAATGCAATGACAAAATACTTTCACTTAAGGTTTGCTTTGTTTTCCATAGATCCCGCGTAGAAATCTTACAAACCTATTGAATGCTGTCCCAGTGTATTCCAAATAATTTTCCCCGTCTTCTTTATGATAGAATTCAGCTGTGTCTTGTATTGCAACGCTGTAATACTCTGAAGTATTTCCTGCTTTCTGTTTTAAACAAGCCTATTGGAAGGTAGCAATGAAGGTAATAGTTACTCTGATGCGCGCAATGCGCAAAGAATTACTTTATATGTGCAGGTGTGAAACAATTACCAGAGATATATTTGTTAACATTGTGAATTTGAAAATGTAAAACTCGTATATGTGTACTGCGGTTTCATGAAATGTATGAAAGCGATCCACGCAGTAATGAACCCTCAGTTTATGTGGTAGTGGAAATAAGGCCTTACAGGGCTCGACACTAGCTTTTCAACTTGCTAGCCAAGTGGCTAAGTGACATCCTAGATGTTACGACCATTTCAGTTTGTTTACTAGCCAAAGTGGCAGGTGGAAATCGAAAACAACTAGCCAAAACTTAATTTCTACTAGTCTGTGGCTAGTGGGTTACCGTTAGTGTCAAGCCCTGCCTGAAAAAAATTCAGGCCCGCGTACAGGATTTGAACCCATGACCTCTGAAACACCGGTGCAGTGTTTTACAAACTGACCTAACAAGCCAATCGGGAGCTAGTCATTAGGTTGGTTCGCATTAAACCCGTCGAAGTGTTAATGCTGTGTTACACAGACTTGGTGAGAAACAAATTTCTGGGCTCCCATGAGGCAGGCCATTTCAAGAAAATAAAATTTACTCCATTTCTCGCTTGTTAGTTTGTGTTTGATATTTTAATACTTTCTTTTCTTACTTAGAGCGAATGAAAGGAAAATGGTATGGACGCCCTTTGAATTCACCTCACAATTGGACTCAAGTAAAGGAAGGATTCCCATCTATCGTACGTGTGGGATTTGGTTACGAGATGTTAGGAACTGAGTATTAAATTAAAGTTAACCATATACTTACGGCAACATTTTTACATGCCGATCCATTCAGTGAATATGGGTCGCATGGGTTCCAACTGAAGCTTAACTTTGCATTATTTGAGGAATTAAGGAAAAATCTGAGGTAAAAAAGAAAAGGGAATCAAGATCTAAAAGCAGATAAGCAGTTAGGCTAGGCCTTTGCCGGTTGCGCTGAGCACCTTTTGAGCACTTTTTTGAGTTTGGGGCACTATTTTGCATTTTGAGCACCCTTAAGCACTTTTTCGCACTTTGGGCAACATTTGAGCAATATTTCACATTTCGAGCAAATTTCGAGCAAAAACTGCGTGCCGCTCGCAACGAGAATCGTGTTCCAGGTCATAAATTTGAATAACTAATGATGTACTGGTAAAAAATAAAAGACCGTTGTTATGGAAAGGCACGTGGACTTATCCCTGCTGAGCGTGAAAACAGAAGTTTCTGATTGGCTGATGTATCCGATGTGTGTGTCATCTCAAATTTCTAAATCATCTGATGTCAGGCTTTACACTAGTACTGCTGAATTCATTTACAATTCGTAACCGGCTTTAGTTTTTTAAGAGCACAAATGATAGCGCTAAATAAGTCGGAAAACAATAGCACTGAAGACGAAGAAGTGATTGATACAATTACAATAACAGTAAATGCTGGAACATCCCTTAGTGCTCCAGAAAGTGCTTCGATAGCACAAAAGCGTCCGATCAACAAAGGGAAGAACAAGCAAAGAGGAAGCGTCAAAACCACCAACGTGAGTACACGGGATCGTCCGCTCAAAGAGTACCCAAACCAACACTTTGCCGTGGTAAAAGGAAAGCTTAGATGTAACGCCTGCAGCGAAGCTTTCAGCGATAAGAAAAGTTCTATTGAAAGACTCACGAAATCAAAGAAACATGAGAAGGGCCTGGCTGATATTGAGAGAAATAAATCAGAACAGCAGTCCATCAAAGAATGCCTGCAAAAGAGGGCAAGAATTGACATATTTACGAAAAGCTTAGAGATAACTGTTCACAACTTTTAGCTCTTTTTGAGCACTATTTTGAGATTTTGCGCACTTTTTGAGCACTTTTTGAGCACATTTTAGACATTTTTGTCAGCACTTTTTTAGGATTTTACGAGCGCAATCGGGAAAGGCCTAAGTTAGGCCCACATAGATTGTACCAGTAAGAGTAACAAATTAAGTTACTAGCATTGCCCGATTCATTTTCAGATTATGCTCAAATTACGCTGGTTTTTTAAAATTGTGCAACTTTTTTGTATAGTAACCTTTTCAAATAAGAAACACGACACAAGTCAAAATTACCTGCTGTTAACAAAGCACGACGCCATTTATATCTTCAGTCACGCCCTTGCTCTGTTAAAACACAATTTTACATCTTCACATTCTCTCATTTTGTTGCCTGTGAAAGCGGAAACTGGAACCGACTGAATTTTTGCTTCCGGTGTGCCTAGTCCTCTAGACGACAAACGACGCAGTTTTGTGGTAGCCACGGTAACCTTCTTCCCGGGAGACATAACAAAACTGAAAATAGACTAAACCACCGCGGGTAAGCTACTTCCCATACGAAATCGCAACTTGCACAGTAATCTCACTGCAAATTGTCAGCGGATAGCTCTATAGCAGACGAGCAATACGTGTTATAATAAAAAACATGGTGGTTAACATGGGAAATTGAGGAACTTTGCCTGGCTGGTCATATTCTTAGGATACCGGGGAAGACGCTTTCAAAACGTATTGTGGCTACTATTTTCGGTTGTTCTACAGCAGTTTCAGCCCTACTTTCAGGTTAGCGCGGTTTCGTGTTTCCGTTAATTCCGTTAAGTAGTAGAATATAATTTGGTTAGGAATTTTAAATCAAGCAAGTCATCACTGGAGTAATTTTTCCTCCAAAAACACTGAAAGGATAGTGATCATGCTAGCAATTCTGATTGAAGAAACGAAAATCCCTTAAATTATGCTGGTTTTTCCAAATTATACCAAAAACTATGTTACCATAATCTACTAAGGGTTTATCTGCTACACAATTCTTATGATATATAAAAATGAGTTAGTTCTAAGGTTACTTCAACTAATTTTAAATCAAACAACATCGCTTGGTTGTTATATTTTTCTTCCGTCACGTTTCTTCTTTTAAATGTTAAAATGTTGAATGGAGAAATTCTCCTTTGGTTACCTCATGGAGTGGAAAGGTTAAAGGGACAGCACCACGGTGATGCATGCGCTTTGACACGTCTAAATCGTTGAAAAGTTGAGGAACTTTTTCAAATTTCGTTATTGGAACCGGTTGTAGTGTCCTATCATTTTCTATCTTTGCCATATCCGCGGATGACTCTTTTTTTCCTTTTTTCCTTTAGGGAAAAGGTTACACTGTTTCTCAGATTTGTCTTTCATTTGCATTTACCTCCTTATAGCTTTGAGCCAGCGACAGAGAAGAGAAAGCCTGGGAACGAGGCTGGCCTCAAACTTTTAATTGGTAGCGTCTAGCTTTGTGAATCTGAAAAATTTTTGCCAAAATTCTTTAAATTTGCCGTTTGAAATACGAGTGGTTTTTTTTTATTTTTTTATTTTTAACTATCTCCCATTTTTAAACTATTTCTTCCTAGATATAACCTATCTTCTGGTATCTGTCTCTTCGCTCTATTTATCCATTTCAAGAAGTACTTTCAAAATCCGGAAACGTAGGAGATAGAAGGATACAGCCCAGCGCAAGCCAATAATTTACAAATTTCCTTTCTGGTTTAAAAAACCTTGTTTTTAGTGGGTGCATGTAGACGATTTATCGTGCGACCTTTCATTTTAAAAAAAGGAAAAATAAGGGCGCGGGTATACTCGTGTCAATGCGCACCAAAATAGCAAAGTGAGTTTAATCTTCCCTCTGAAGCCGTCTTTAAGGAACAATAAAAGGTGGAAAATCACGGTGTTATGGCAACATTACCGTAGTAGGACGGTTCATACCTTGGCCTGCCTTCTGTTCCTGCTAATTTCTTAAGATCGATTATTCCTGTATCCGTTGAGCAGCTACAAGAATCTATTTTCTTGAGTTCATTTTCATGGCCAAAAACAGAGCCTGACAGAAAACAAATAGCCAGGCCGACGAAGACCAAATGAATCCGTTCAAAAGCCATTACAACAGTTTCAGTTCAACACAACGCGTTAAGATTGAAGGAGAACCTGTTCTCAAACATGGATAGCTCATGATTTTTATCATGAACATGTCATGGGACAGGTTTCAGTTTTATAGAATAGCTCCTCAAATTTACCGTCGTCCATGGGCATTTACGCCGGCACGAGACTTGCACGAAAAGTTACTTGTAACGCGTTCTGCCCGCATCACGGGAATCATGCGGTAAATGTTCATGCTTTTCTCGTTAGTTCATAGTCACACGAGCGTGGTCACAAAACTATTTTGGTCATTTTGTTCGACTTGTAAATTGATTTGAAGGTGAAGGAAACAACATTCTAACAAAGTGATTAAAAAAGAAAGGAAAAAGGAAAGCTGAAGCAAAGGGTTTCAATAGATTTTTCCATAAGCGGCAGCTGATGGTGCAGTTGGCCGCTGTGCCGAAAAAGGGGGCGCTAACTGGGCGAAACCCAAACACGAGCCATGCTCAAAGCCTAAACAGACGGCGGTGAGAGGTCAGGTAGGCAGCAGTTAACCGGCTTTTTTTAAAACCTCTGGTTAAAGACGGGGAAGACCGAACCGAATTGCTTTTCACTGACAAAATTGAATCGTTACGAGCGTGTCGATTTTTTGTTGAGTTATATCCCTTTTCACAATCTCCTGATCTCGTCTGTGCCACACCAACCAACCTTGCGAAAAGCGCGTGACTGTTGTCCGATGACCAGCCCGCTTTACACTTTAAACTTTGTGAATCCAATTGCAAAGATCTGAAAGTAAATCCTCTCATCAAAAACTATTCATTCATATAATCTTTGTCGGTGAGAATTTGGTGCTAAATCAGTAGTTGATAATCATGTACTTTCCCATTACCTACCTGCTCGACACTTTGATAAAAGTTATAAGGATTATTTACATTCTGATCATTCCCAGGAGTCAACAGGGTCACACAGAAATATTTGTGATGCCGAAATATCCTCTGTATCATATTTATGAAACGATTTGATGGTGGAACACCATCATGATTTTCTCGCGCTTGATTTGAAACATAAGGAGTTAAGATTTAGTTCTTATAGGTTGTTTACCGCATACTTTTGAACCTCTCTTTCCTATTCCGTGAGCGTTTCATAGGAAAAACTATTTAGAACACCAAAATATGGCTTAAATTTTTTTTTCCGACAGACAAACGACCTATTTGTAGATTCACATGCTCTCTTGTATGGAATTTTTCAGGCAATAGAAATTGTGATAAACTAGAGTCTTTGAACAAACGTATTTTACGATTTATTTTTAATGATCCATTGTCTAGTTATGATGATCTGTTAAATAAAGCAAAGATAGCGTCCTTATATACTGAAAGACTTCACAAAACTCTAATGGTAGTTATCAAGAGCTTATTTGCTTTTATGTATTCTGGATATCTAAAAGAACTTTTTGTTGTTCGTAATTCCAGTTATTCACTGAGAGAAAAGAATTTTCTGACTCTACCTCAGTAACAAAAACAACAAAATATGGTCTTGAGTGCATCCGATATCAAGCAGCAAAAACTTTGAATTCGCTCCCTGACAGCATGAGAACGAGTACATCATTTAAAGATTTTAAGATAGCCATAAGGAAAATGAACTTTAGTAGTAATTTTTTATTAGAGTATTAGTAGTAGTTCTATTTATAATTTGACTGACTTATGTATTTTTCTTTCTCGAAGATATGAGCTCAACTACTCTGTAAATTCGAGTTGACTAAAGTATATGTTTGTATGTATGTACAGCGTGATGGGGTCACTGTGGCGCAAGAAACTTAGTTTAATCCCTTTTGAATTTGGAACAAATGAGATGCTTTTGGATTGTCCAGTATTCAAATCCCTTCAGGTAGCTGAGCTTAAACGGATCGTTTAACGGAAATCACGCGGCTTTCCCGCTAGTTCCTAGTGACGCGACCTCAGTCACGCGACGCTAGTCACACTTTGAAGTTCTTTATCTATCGTATATCAAATATCACGATTAGTTACACCTAAAGCTAACTACTATTTAAGGTAAACCACTCCTTCAAATTGCTTGCCCCTTGGTTTTACAATATATTCGGGGATGATTTAGGAAGTGCTACACTCTAACATCAGTATGCATATTCTCCATACAAGAAGAATTTGTTCAACGATCAAAAGCTTTCTAGCTGCTGATCATTTCCTTTATTCTCCTGGCAAAACTTTTGTTTCAGGGGTACTATGTTTAGGATCGAGAAATTAGATGCCAGTTACTCTTACGGGGTTAAAGTGTTTTAAAATGCTGACTTAAAAAGTTATCTAGAACTAGATGTATTAGATGATTCGCATTATTATTGGTACTATCATTATAATTTTTTTCCTTTTCTGAATCTATTACACCCTTATATTATATTACTTGTTTCTGTTTTTTTCTCTTTCGGGTTCAGTGCAACTCTGGCGCTACTCTTCGATCTGGGGTGAAATGAAGGTTTATCATGATCACCACCTTTTTAAAAGAAGAACCAATATTCAAACCCCACGGTTAAAAAACTGCGCATCTCAAAGATCTGATCAGGCGTTTTTGTTTCAGCTCTCGATTATATTACAGAGAAAACCATAGATACAAATTACAACAGAAATGTTATACGTTAATAGTTTATCAGGGAATAGACGAATACTCCAGCCTCTTGTAACATGGACAGACCTTGGCCATTATCACTTCAAACCCAACCTGCAGAGCATAAAGTGAAGCATGGAGGATTCGTTTCTTGCGTCGAGTACTAGCGCCGTAACGAACAAAACGAAATCGTCACGTCATGCATCACGTAATAGTAACATTGCGTGACTGGCGCTTATCTGACTTGGGTAGGGAAACACTGAAATATAACTTAAAAAGTTTAAAGTATATGTCCGACTGAATGAAGCTTAATTTTTTGACGGTCATTTCAGAATAGCAGATCAGATATATTTGTCGGGTAACAACGAGATTCCTACCGGTCAAAATCACCTTCTAATTAAGTAACATGGGTTAGCGTTACACCCACCTTAACTGTGGTGCAGACAGGCGGTTTAGGAGTTCCTTCAGGAAGCTTTCTACGCAAAAAGACGATAAAAACAACGAAGGCAAAAACAAGAATAGCAGCAACAGACCCAAAGCTGCAGTAGAAGAAAAATAGCGCTTAATTATACTGATTGAAATTCATATTTTTACTGTGAAAAGCTTACTCCAACAGTCCTCTTGAATGAGGTGAAACTCGTCTTATTTCTCTGAGGTAATACTTACACAATACCCATGATTTGACCAGTACCTAAGCCCGCGTTACTCGGACTACTGCACCTCCCAGGACATGCGCATTTGGAATGCAATCTCGTTTCCTGCAAAACGAAAAGAATAGCATGACCATTTCGTGACATGTTTTCGCCCTGGTACGGGCATGGACTTTTCCGGCTTCCTTATCCACCAGTTTTGTTGCTCACTTTATAAACCGACCTCCCAGTGCAGAAGTTTGTTGTGGGGAAGGGCGGAGGCTTGGGGTAGAGGTTGGTTAGGGGAAAGGAGCAAACAAGCGGGGAAAAAAAAGACAAACAAACCAACAAACGACAACAACAACATCAGGTGAATAACTCGACAGCGACGAGTGCTTGCTGATTACGGTTAATGAGGTTAAATTGCCTACGGTACGAACTGTGTGGACCAACTGTGTGGACCAAACGAGACCAAGGGATTATCGAGATAAAGTGTGAGTTTTAGTCGCCCGTATGCAGTTTAAAACGAGTCTTAAAACAAATTTTAAAAAGCTTTCAATTTTGGTTTTACATTTGGGTGTAACATCCAACCAAGAAAGAAGGATCTTAATTGCTAAGTAGCATGAAAGCAGAGACGGACCCTGAATTTGACCTAACTGACGGGTGACAAAAAGCAGCAGGTCAAGATGGGGGGGGGGGGTTGCGCACCCCCTCCACCCCTCTGCACCTGAAAAGCTAGAGCAGAGAGTGAGGACTTACGTATTTCGAAGTAAATCTGCTCATGGGATCCACTCTCCCTTCTTCTGTTTCGTTACACATTAAGATAATTTTGGTTTTTCTGTTTGGAAAATAGGATCCTGAGTATGAATCAATGGCTATATAACACTGTGGTCTAACTATTTCAGCAAAGTTTAGCTGTTGTCAGTTAACAAAACCGCGTCCTAAACAGTCCTTGAATTAACGCTTCTGTAGAGAAAGCCTGAGGCCTCCTGTTTGCGTAAAACAGTGGTTTGGGTTAGACGTCGTGTAAAAAAAAAAACTGGCCCTGTGTGTTTTATACACTGACGTTAACTGATAAACAGTAATGAATACAGCAATTCCTTATTTCACAATGAAGGTGATCGGAAAAGGCACTAGTTTTGTGTTAAAGAACAAAACCTGAAACCTAACTCTTTTTGTTTCTCTGTTTCTTACCCGGTCTCGTACACAGACCTTTTTCACGCCCCTCTCAAACCTTTGGATTTAAATCTGGCGTTTTGATGCACTTCAACCAGTTTGCTTGTTTTTATTTTGAGTTCTTATTGGCTCCTTCAGGTCTTTCCCTGACTGGTGGTTAAGTTTAAAGATTTGATGATCTCCTTCAACAAAGAGAAGTTTGATTTATGACAAATATCAACCAGTGGTGATTATTTACATTTGTTTGTTGCCCTTGACTCCGTATGTCAATGCACACAGTCCAGTCCCCTGATCAAAAACGCAGTCGCTCAAGTTTTGCTGTCCAATGTCTTTATGATAAGTTCCAAATGGAGGTGCCTCTTGGATCATACAGACCTGTGGATCAACAACGACCTAAATAAGTGATTTGAACAAAATCGCAAATCATTGTACATATCAATATGAAACGCTTTTGAGTGTTGGAAAGTGTACGATACATTTATTAGTCTTAAAATTGGTGACATTATAAGTGTTTCGTTTGTCTATTACGTAACCAAACAACATGTATACGGCAAGTTGTTTTTTGTTTGTTCCACGTGCCTGTAATGCAACGTTTTTGGTGTCTTTTCATTCGAATAAGCGAAGAGCTGTGACAGGGAAGTACACGGGTGTTAACCGAAGCGTTGTAACAGAGTCGTAATATCAAGTGAATAAACCGTGCGTTAATAAGGAGGCTTGGTACAGCTTCTTCACGTTTTCGACAGCGTTTGTAAAGTAACCTCTCACCCTTTCCCAGCTAGAATACTTAGATCAAGGTCTATTTAAGAAGCTTAATGCATGCACCGAATTAACTGATAATCCTGAGGATGCGCTCCGCTTGAGGTAAACCCTTTGAACTCCCATGAATGACCAAGACAGAATTTCTCCTTGCCATATCAATACAACATCAAGCAGACCAGTGACGAGAATAAAGAAAAATATCAATTAGGAGATTATTAGTCGATCAAATGCTAAATTCTCTGATCTAGCATCATAAGAATTGTATGGCAGACAATAAGGAGAATTACCAATTAGAACTTGGGAGTGAAAGAGTTAATTGTGTCCCTCTCCATTAAACTAGTGTCACCTTGCAGAACGTATATTCCAGGCTCTCTTTGCTTAAGGACACCCGTAGTGTTAGAGAGCTACACTACAGCTGGATGGAGTCTGGACTGGACTAGAACTTGCTAGACTTGTACAACGCTGACTCATAAAAAGAGAACTTTGATTCTAGCTATGGGGCGCGGCGGCGTAAAGAGATTCTCACGCGTAGAAAACCGTCCCTTTCTTCATGACTGCGTCGAGTAATCCAGGCAGTGCACGTACGCTTGAAGTGCGACACTTCTTCTGTATCGTCTGAGAAGTCGCAGAAAACCGCCTCGGTGATAGAGCTATGAAGAAATCCCACCTACACGATTGTGCTTCTCTCTAATACAGGAACGCCACCAAAATGAGACTGGGCAGATAGTCATATGGCTCATTTTCAAAATCACGTGGTGTTTGCTTTACCACGGGCAAGTTGTAACACGGGCCCATATTGGAAGGACAACATTGGTTTGTGCAACATGGTGGAGCCTTCACATGCAAGCGGGAAATTTTCGGCTTAATTCTGTTTGCCTAACAGAATATGACATTCCAGGGGCAAAACTTCCAAAGGAATCTCCCGAAGAATGCAACAGTTGGATGTTGAGACGCTGGCTGCAGTGTAGATGAGGTCGAACAACGCGAAAAAAGGCAGCGCTTGTTCAATGGTAAAATTGTGGAGCTGGAGTTCGATCGGTGGTTCGATGAATCTTTGTAAAACAGAATTATTCGATGGTTAATTTTAGATCTTCTTCCAGGGTGAAGGATTATATGAAAATCAACTGTAAAGTGATTGACCCAGACGGAGGAGCAAACTTGTTAAAAAAGAAAGCGCGCCTTGGACTGTGCGAAAATTTCCTGATTAATTTCCTAGAGAAGAATACAACGATGACCTTTCAGATGTTCCAGTTGTGGACTATAATATGATATGAAAGTTTATGGTCCAAAATGTGTCAGGAAAAGGAACTTCTACCGCCAAACCCTTAATAAAGGATATAACTTCTTTAATTCCGGTCATGTTGTTAAGTTGGAAAAACATCTTAGTGAAGATGGATCGTGCCATCTCAGAGGAAAGATTTTGCTGTCTATGAAGAAATCAACTTCATACACTGCCTTTATTACTTTGAGGGATGGTAAGATTCTTCGTGCAAAGTGTGGCTGCCCTGCTGGCATCGAAGGTTATTGTGATCATGTTTCTTCTATGCTTTTCTTCGTAGAAGAATTCTGTGAACATAATGCAAAAATTGCAGCCTGCACATCCCAGCCTTGTAATTGGAACAAACCCAGCAGGAAAAGAAAATTAGATAACCACCCAATTCACCATGTGAAATTTGTAAAACATGAACATGGTTAAAAGAAATCAGATGCTGATGGCTTACGTCAAAGTAAAGACGTGAGGGCCCCTCATCAAGGAAACGTGGACAGAACAGAACTCTACAATTTGAAATGTAAACTTGAGAACCTGGCAAGTGAAGGCCAAGAAAGTGGCTTGTTGCACATATTACTGAGAAAAAGCTCACAGGAAGTGCTTGAAGATATAAGTCATGAACACGACTACTGTAAAAGACCTAGTGACACTGAACGCATTGCAGGTTCCATACGGACATTTCATGACTTTAACATGACGCATCTCTAGTTGTTACCAGGCCGAGCGTGTGATCTTGCTCGGCCATGTGTATGATGAAATTTGTTCTGAAGATTGTGAATGTGAATCGTTTTCAGCCTATCGATTTCGACGAACATTTTTCAGTTATTTTGAGAGGGAACCCTCAGATTGTTTGTAAGTGTTCGACATTTCGATTTATTTGAGCTTTGTATACTTTCATTTTGCTTTATTTTGCTTCGCGTTTGCAAGTTTCGATTGTGTAATTCTACTTTCAGAAACATATTTGTATGCCGTTTATTTGATGAACCTGGATTAAAAGACTCTGAAATTAACCCATCGATTCAGCGGCTACACGCATCATTTCACCACCAAAGGTCCACCCCATTAGCTTACAGGAGCTGAAAGAGCGTTGTTCCAGAATTAAAAGAAAGTTGGCTTTGGAGGATGATCAAATTCAGGTGATTGAAAGAGAAACTAAGGAGCAATCATTAAACATGGAAACTAACTTAAAATGGAATGAAGCAAGGAATTTTAGGATT